CCAAATCGGGCAATTAATATGTTAGTAATGTCCTTTTGGAGTTAGTATTTCTTCTATAGCACTGTCCAAATTAGTCCTTAAATTTTAGGGTGTTTTTCTTTTTTTCCTCTTAAGTTGTACTTTGGACCTCCGGCTGCTCCTTTAGCTTCTTCTTCTTTCACCTCTCCTTCCGAGCTGCTGTCTTCTTCGCTTATCCCCGATATCCACTCGGCGAGTTCTGCCTCTTCTTCTGTACTGACGTGCCTTTTCAAAAAGTCTTGTGCCTTCAGGATAGAATTAATCCTTTCTCTTCTGTCTTTATACTTACAGACCAGTCCTTCTGGCGTCAACCACCTGTAACTAATTTGATGCTTTTGTAGGAACAAAGTCAATCCTTTGTATTCTTTTCTTTTCATTCTAATTTCAAATGGAATATCTTTCAAAATTCGGATTGGTGGTTCTCCAATTTTCAAGGGTATTGCTGATACTGCTTTTAAAATTTGATCTCGGAGCGACTTTTCCATTTGAAGCAATAATAATTTATTGTCCTGCTTCACTTGATGTTTTTCCACTTTAACTATTTTCTTCTTAACTCTCTGTATTTCTTCCGTTGACGCCAGACACTTCTTTGCAATATCATCTACCTTGTCGGCAGTCTCAGTCATTTTTTTCTGTTGGACACTAAAAGCACTCTCCATATTATCCAGCTTCTGATTGATTTTCTGCAGTTCCTCCAGCAGATGGCGCGCAAGTTCACTTTCTTGTTGATTGACAGCAGTCCCAGCAGGGGAGGGACTCGGACAGGAAGTTCCTCCTGTCTTCTTTGTCTGCCTCTCGAAAGTCTTTTTCTGCATCGCCGTTTTCCAACTTTGTTTATACTTTAAAAGTTTGTGCTGCGCTGCCCAGGGATGGCTCCCTCTTCTCCGCTCTCAACTCTCTTCCAAAAGGTAATACGATTATTCAAATCTTCGCTTTGCCCCCCCTCTCCGCTTTTAAAAGTCTCTTTTCTAAGGGGGGGGAAATCCTCCCTCCTCCCTTTCGGTTTCACGGGGGACGAAGCGCGCTCAAGCCGCAACTTTTAAATTGATCTCCAACTCACAGTTAGTCGAATATGCTTTTCTTCAAACTTTAACTTTATCGCTTCATCACTCCGATGTTCCGGTGGCTTTGCTAGTCCCCTTCACGGGGCACATCGCAGCAGGGGCCGTTTGGGGCAAAGGGAGAACAAACGGGGAGCCTCAATTCCCAGCTTTCATGCCGGTAAGAGGCTTCTCCCAGTCTCCTGGTCGCGCCCCCTGGTTCGGAGCCTTTTCACTAAGGCTCCTTAGGATCTCCGCTTGCGCGGGACCCCCCCCAAACTGCGTGTGGGCGGTCCGGCTCTGGGAGCTTCCCGAGAGTCGGCCACCGGTCACGCGGCCAGAGCCGGAAGTCCTGTCTTTTCCCGAGGTATTTTTAAAAATCAGTCTGTGAAATACCAATATAGCATTACACCGATATGCCAATTGGCAATTTAAAAAAACTCAGAAAGCCCAGCAGCATGCATGGGGGCAAATGCCTGCCACAGGGACAGAGGCAAGGTAAATGGCTGCTGTGAGGGTGGAACTAGGAAAATCCAGACCTTCCCGACCCACATGGCAATGAGCCTGGCTTTGCTGCAACGTTTTCCAGTTGTACCTGTGGCAAATAACCTGTGTGAAAACAGCATACAATAAAGAGGCTGAAAGACCATGAAGTCCATTGGACCATGAAGTACTAGGTCAGAAGCATTTAGTGGAGTAAATTACTGAGATTTGTACATTGAATAACTTTTTAAAACATATAGGAAAAGGCTTCAGTAATGAAGATGTGATGAATGACAATGTGAGAAAATTGCCCAAACATTAACAATATATTTGGGGTGAAGATATCTTTTTAGTGGTCTTAATAAGTTTCATAGGGGATAAATAGGAAGTAGAATGTAATTCAGAGAATATCAGAAATAGGACCTGAGAAGAGTAGCACTCTTTATTCTGAGTGAGAGATCATTCCCTTCCTTACCCCATAAAAGGTAGTGTAGCTAAGCTCAAAGACTGAAATCACATCTATGCTGTAAAATGTAAGAAGGTTAATACTGTAAATCAACCTTTCTACACGAACATAATTTGGTTCAGAAACCCAGTTCAAGTGTGTTAAGAACTGCCTTTCTGATTTGTTATTTTTTCATTCATGCACACTAACTGCTGAAAGGAGCTAAAAGGTACTTTATTTATTTATTTAGAAAATTGTGTGCCATGTCTCCAAAAACTTGCTTGAGGCAGCTCACAATCATAACAATAAAAACCAACAGGGCAATAAAAATACCACACGTCAATAGAAACAAGCCTGGGCATCAAATCAGCGTAAAACACAGCAGTCTAAAATTTCTCCCAGGCTGGGAGATGAGTGTAAAACAGCTAAAGACGACGGAACCCATTTCAGTGGTCTATTTGAATTCCATCGCAGGCCTTTGTTTCCTGCAGCCAAAACAACCAGAAATCTATAGAGGGCAGTCTTGCTGCATTGTCTTTCATTTAGCTTTAGTCCTGTCAGCATAGCAACAACTGCTTTTTCCTTTGCATATCTTTGCACATCTTGAACATCGTAATGTTACATGTTGATTTGCTGTTCATTCTTTGGCTATAAGTTTGAGCCTTCCCTGCCATTCTAATGTATTTGATAAAGTGTGCATGCACATGAAAGCTCATACCTTGAATCAACCTTTGTTGGTCTTAAAGGTGCCACTGGGTTCTAAATTTGTTTTACTGCTTTTTCTTTTGTCATTATGCATAGCATTGCAGCACAGTGCATCTTTCATTTTCTCCCTCTTGCTCTAAAAGCCTGAGAGAGCAACGGTGAAATACATCAAATCCCTAGCAAACAAAAGCATTAAGAGAAAAAGTCAAAAACCAACAAAATTAGAAACCTGTTTGAGTTTGACAACTGGATATGGACACCCCAGAAGTAAAGACTCACCTGCCACAGTAAACTTAAAAACAAACTTCATCTAGCCTTACAAGATAGGACTGAGTTTTAAAAACAAACTTGCCAAAATCTGAAGGACAAACCCAGTTATGAAGACCATAAACTAGCAGGAGCTGTGAGGATTAATCTAATGTTTTATTCCTAGTGTCCCATGCACGACAGCAGAAATATAGGGATGTGCTCAGTGTTTTGAACACCTGGATTTCGGGGAGCAAATTCATCCAAAGAGGCCAAGGAAGCTGAATTGGTGAAGCTTATTAAAGCAGAGAGTTACTTATTTTACTGCAAGTAAAATCCTTATCTACTGTTCTTTCCAAAATTTTTGCTTGAGGGGATTTACAATAAAATCACAGAATATGATGAAACGTGTAATACAGTAAAACAAGATGGAACAATAAAACCAGGAAAACAACTTGAAAAGCATAAAAAGGAATAAAACAGCACAGCAGCACCGAAACTGTTAAAAGTCTAAACCAGCGTTAAACAGCATCAAACATAGGTAACATAAAACAGCAAATGGGAGTTAGTGTAGATTTTTAAAGTCTACCAACAAAAATTAAATGTGCAAGTGACAGAAGACCCTAAAATCAAAAATTTACAAATGCCTGGGAGAATAGTGAAGTGTTTGTTTGGAACTAGGCTATTAACAGTCTTGATGCCAAGAGAACATTAGAACGGTGGCCAATCACACACTTTCAAAAGGCTTATAAATTTATCTAATATTATGGAGAATGGGGGTCTTGGGGCAGAACCATGTCAGGCAGGGGAAAGGGCACCATGAACCTATTCAGGGCTAATTTATTGTCACATTGTACATTCCAGGGTTAAGCCTTGGCAATGGAAACTTGCTGGGGCTGAGTCCTCATGAATCCTGTTCTTTGACCCTCCCATAATTTTTAATGAACTGTGTACATGTGAGCAGTATTTTTAAAGAGACCAGTGCCCAAATTTGGGACAGCTGGAGCCCCTTCTCAGTAGGCCTTGTTTTTCTCAGTGGTGGTTCTACTTTAAAGTGATGCTAGCAGTCCAAATCACAGGCAGCAACAACATATGTAAAGGTCCAGGGGATACCATGAGAGACAGTGGGAATAGGAATCCTGATTGGTTTTGTTTGTTTAAAAGGTTGACTGCAGCCTTCTTTTGCCTACCCTGAAGCTTACAGAACAACCTTATGAATAACTCTTTGTTTCTACTCCTACTGAATTTCCTGCTCCAGTGATAGAGTTCCATAGTTTTTAAGTGACAGATTACTTTAAGACAGTATTATGGATTCTTCTATACCAGGGCGGTGTAGAATTTTCTTTGTGATGACAGTTTTTGACATAGATTTTGAGGAAATGTCTTAAACTTGTAAATGTGAGTAAAATTATTCCTAAACCACAGATGTATTGTCTATTAAATTGGATTAGCACTCCCTGGTTTCCCAATGGTGCCTCCCCAGTTTGCTGTGGCCAAAGAGGGAGGGCCAGCCTGATGCAGGTCCATCTATGCCTCTTCCTTGGGCTCCCCAAACATCTTTCATCAGGCCACTGGTGTGAGTATTGGGTGGCTCTGCCTTCCCACCACTCAGGGCCAAACCCATCCCCTTCTCCTCAGTTTGTTCAAAGTGTGTGTGTGTGTGGAGCAGCCTTACATGAAAAAAAATCTAATAGTATCTTCTTTGTGATCAAAGATACCAAATATAGCTAACAATAACCCAATTCTGAATTGTGACACTTCATGTAATGCCCTGTTTAAGACCTACTTTGTGATTGGCTTTAGAGTTTGCTATTTAGTTCAGTCAACATTTTTACCATGTATTTGTGACAATTATGCTAAGCATAACAATATACAAGCCTTACTAGTGCGACTGTGAAACCTAACCTGATGCATTTCATTGGGCTTAGGGGCACCTTTAAAATTGGGCTGACAGCTTCATATTTATAGTAAGCCCCAAATCCTTCAGAAATCATTGATACTCAGCAATCAGCAATGACTAAGCAGGTCTTCCAATCAGGCTGTGATTTCTGGTTATGTTTCAGACACTGGAAGATACAGTGCTGCATCCCAGAGCTAGCAGGGATGACAAAGCGTTGACTGTGCGAGGCGAAGGAGAAAGAGCTGCACCCACAACTGTCCCAGCCAGGATTCGACAGATCATCACACAGAGCTTGTCTGAACCAGCATCCCAAGGTACTGCCTTTGCTGGAGGGGGGGGGGGAGGAGAAAGTGCTGTCAAGTCATAGCAGACTTATGGCAACCCCTTAGGGCAGGGGGGTCAAACAGATGGCCCACGGGCTGGAACCAGCCCATCCAGGGCTCCTATCCAGCCCGTGAGCAACTGGTTATTACCTTTATTGCCATATGACAGAGGCTGTGCATTATGTCCCTGTATATTGTTCCCGTGCTAATGTGTACAGGGAGGTAGAAGTGGGAGGGTGGGCATTGGGGAGATACTGTAAGAGCATTAATATTTTAAATATGTTTGTATTTTGAGTAAAAATAATATTGTTAATTGGGTTTGCCTGTGCCCTTTATAAAATTTATATCTCCAGTACCTGGCATTACATTTTATGGCACACATAGCCCGAGCCAACAAAGTGACATTTATGTCAGATCCGGCCCTTGTAACAAATGAGTTCAACACCTTGAAAACCTGGTTTTCAAGGCAAGAGATGTTCAGAGGTGGTTCGCCATTGCTTGCCTCTGTGTAGTGACCTTGGTATTTTGTGGTGGTCTCCCATCCAAATACTAACCAGTGCCAACCCTTTAAAATTGTATTGGATTTTATGTTGTTGTAAACTGCCCTGAGCCCCGTGTAAGCGGGGAAGGGCAGTTAAGAAATTGAAATAAATAAATAAATAAAAATAACCCCATGCCAACAGCTTTAAGTCCCGCACATCTCAGAAACCATCTTCTCTCATAGGGGCATTAATTGAGATCAGTGGGAGGGACCTGCTTCAAATCCCCTCTTTCTAGAAGAATAAACTGACCTTTCTACATAGCAGGGCATCTTCTACTGTTGCCTTGGAGTTCTGGAATGCCCTCCCTCAGGAAATCAGTGTTGCTATTCATTTTGCTCCATTATTTTTAAAGATATAGAATTTCCAGAAATTTTGAAGCTGTGTGGGGGGGGGGGGGGGGGGGAGCAGTCTCTTTCTGGATGTTTTACAGAATGTTTATGGGAAAAGTGAAGTATATGCAGTACTTACTTTTCTATCAAACCTAAATCACTTTTGCTGCTTTAACAATAACATGCATCATTTATAATTCAGTTAGCATATACAATTATATTAATTGGCATATTTATGGAATTGAAAAATATAAATGCCTTAGTCTTCTACAAGCAAAATTGTAAATGTGCCCAGTACTATAATGAGAGAGAATTGCGGACTGCTGCATCCTATATTATTTTAGCATCTTTCTCACCCCCAAAGAGAAAAATCTATTCCACAGAATTTTCTTCATTACTCTACAAAATTTTCCAGTTTTTCCAGTGGAGAATTGGATTACTGCAATGTGCTTTACATGGGGCTGCCCTTGAAAAGTGCCTGGAAATTTCAATTGGTACAATGCTGCAGCCAGGATGTTGACAGGATTGGGTTATAGGGACTATATTACTGCAGCTGTGGCCCATTTATGCTGACTTCCATTTTGTTCCCAGGCCAAATTCAAGCCCCATGTGGCTTGGGGTCAGCATACTTTAAGGACTGGCTTTTTCCATACAAACCTACCCATCCACTGTGGTCATCTTACAAAGCCCTACTTCAGGTGTTCCTACCTTCTGAGATTAGTTGGTTGGAAACCCGAGAGACGTCATCTTTGGGAGAAAATGAACCTCCCACCATTTTTCTCCATGTTCCCCCCCGCCCAGGTCTTTGCATTTCTCTTCTTATAGCATTTCAAAAGAACCTGAAAACTTGGTTTAAGACGGCCTTTTAAGATGCTCCCCCACCCCGTTCTTGTCCTGTTATTGCTTTTGCTGTGGTAGTTTTCATTTGTTTAAAGGAAACACGATAGCAACCGTGCATTTTTTTTTTCCTGTATGCTGCTTCGTAATGCTTAAAACGTAGCCTAGAAATGTTAGTAAATAAATAAACGAATAAGTGATAGCCAAGCAGAGAATAAGATCTCCTTGCACTGAAGTCATATATTCTTATAAGACAAAAGAAAATGATTTGCCTTCACTATATATATGAGGATCAGCAAGTTTAAAAGGGAGAGTTAAGAGATTCAAATCCCTCCAGTATGCTTGGAAACTATTTATAACTACATTAATTGAGGCTCAGATAGATTGTATACCTCATCACCAAATATGCCTGCATGGTTAACAACCCAAGTCAAAAAGCAAAGGGTTCCTTTTAAAAGTGGAAGCTTTGCTCAAATGAGGAGCACAGAAAGGACCACAGGTCCTGGGAAAACAAATGTCAGTTGACAGTAAAGCAAACAAAAAGAGAACTTGATCAGAATTTGAGTAGCAAATTGCTAAAACCATTAAGATAAACAGTAAGTATTCTTCAAATTTATTATGAGCAGGAAACTAGCTAGGGAGGCAATTAGTCCCTTGGATAACAAAGGAATGAAATAATTACTTAAGAAAAAAGAGGCAGAAGAACTGAATAATTCTTTGCCTCTGTCTTCACTGTGGAAAATGTGGGGCAAATCCTCCTTCCCTTAAGCCACTGTTTTTGGTAAGGGTATCTGAACAACTGGGTCAAATCGTGGTGATGAAAGATGAAGCTCTAGAACTACTAGGCAAGCTGAGAACGAATAAGTTTCCAGGTCCAGATGGCATACGCTTGAGGGTTCTTAAGGAATTCTGTGAATTTTTTGCTCTACTAACTAGTATATGGAGCTGCGGTGGCTCAAGTGGTTAAGACGCTGAACTGCAGGCTGTGGAAGGTCAGTAGTTCAGTAGTTTGAGACACGGGTGCCGCATGACAGAGTGAGCTCCCGTCTCTAGTTCCAGCTCCTGCCAACCTAGCAGTTCGAAAGCAAGAAATTGCAAGTAGATAAATAGGTACCACTTCGGTGGGAAGGTAACAGCGTTCCGTGTGCCTTGGTGTTTAGTCATGCTGGCCACATGACCACGGAAACGTCTTTGGACAGCGCTGGCTCTTCGGCTTTGAAACGAAGATGAGCACCGCAACTCTAGAGTCAGATTCGACTGGCTTTCGAGCAAGGGAACCTTTACCTTTACTTTACTTTAACTAATATGTCAGTTATTGCTAAAATCACCCTCCATGACTGAACCCTGGAAAGTGGCAAATTTCATACTAATTTTTACAAAGGGATTGAGATGGGATCTAGGGAATTACAGGCAGTTAGCTTAACATCTGTTCCATGTGATTTAGTAGAAGTGGTCGTTAGAATATTAAGCATATAGAAGAACAACACCTGCTAGGAGAAAATCAGCATGGTTTCTGCAAAGGGAAGTCCTCTAACCCGTTTTCTGTCATATCTTAGGTTTTTGTTTACAGTGTTCTTGAATTCTCTAATCAGTTATATTGCATTGTGTATTGGAGGTCTTTATTGAATTGTTTTTATATTTTGTAGTGTAAGTCCCATTGAATGATAGAACGCTGTCGACATATGGCTATATACCAGAATAAAGAATAGCATCTGTGTCTCCTACAAATTAATGCATTGCTGCTGTCATGCCCAGAATCTTGGTCTGTCAAATATCCTATTAGCCAAGACCATTTTTGTCCAAACTTGGAAGTGTTTTGAATGGGAGAGTACCTCTGCACATGTACAGGCTTGCTTCTCCTTGTCTAGTGAGTTAGTATAGTGGCAAGTACTTGCTTTTAGTCAGGCTGGAGCATTGGCACATCCATTCTGATGTTTTGGAGTCACATTCAGTGATAATTAAACCTGATGGGATAGAAGGATAAACCATGTGTCTGGTCTGTACGAAGGACAAATCAGTCCCAAGTTTGGGTTGGTTCACTCAACTAACCTATCCTTTTTTCACTGTTCTCAGGTTTATTGGAAACAACCTTTCCAATGAATATGCAAGAAGAAAACCGCCTACTGCAGAAGGAACTCTCACGTCTTGAAGACCTGCTGGCACAAACCCGTGCCGAGAAAGATGAACTATCTAGCAAATACCAGGCTATTAATGAGAGGGTAAGATCAGGGTTAGAAATCCATCAAAATATTTCTCTTATGCATTAACAATATTAGACAATGCTTTTCTTTTTTCTTCCAAAAACATAAATGTGTTGGAGGGATTGGTGACAAAATTATTATCCATCAATGTCTCTTTCCCATGGACGTAAAAGTGAAGGGCATACTGATGAATTAGCCCTACACCAGTTTCCCAGCCCCTATGCTTGGAATATGACAAGACAAAATGAGCATGTATTCAGTTGTATTTAATGTGGATCTCCTGTCACATGGGCCAGTCTTGGTGGGTCTTAAACATCATAAATGTCTTCTGATATCTAGTAAGAGCTGTTTTAAAGGAGGAAAGTATCAGTGGTACAACTTTCAGAAATCAAGCTTTCTATAAGATTGTCAGAGCATCAGACTGTATTCTTTCAAAGTAGCAGTCAGCCTTGCTGCTTTCAAAAACCGCATCACACATGAAGATTTTTTTCAAATAAAAAGAAACCAAACAGAACATAGCTGTACATTCCCAACGGCCACCACTTCAGCTTTAATTCTGAGTGAATAAATTCTTTTGGGAGCCAGCAGCTAGGAATAATGTGGGATGATAGATAAATAAATAAACAAATGACGTGATCTGTACCTCTTTTCTACTTTAATGCAGCCATGTGCTCTGGGCTCATAGCTTGTAAGCACATGTATTAATATTGCTCTTGGCCACAGATGCATTATTTGGTGGATCATGATGCGTAATTGGGTTGCACCCCACCCGAAGGTGTGTCAAACCATTGTTTTGGGGTTTTGTACATTTTAAAGGAAGGAGAGAGGTGAAAAGAGAGAGGGAGAAAGAGAGGAAGAAAAAGTAAAGCAGACATATAAAGGACAAAATAAATTAAAAGTGAGTGAAATGTTGCAGATCAGAGTTTAGGGTGAGTCCTGGTCCTAAAAAAGCTGAATACATTTACTGTGATATAGTAGCCTATAACTGAACATTTGGGCTTTGTGGGAGTTTGGGCATGTGTAAAGTTAGGATCACCAGGCAGAGTGAATATGGTTCTTAATCCACAGCTTGCTTCAACCAGTGCAAGATAAGCTTCTTGAAGATGGGCCAGGCCTCTGCAGTGGTCTGAATCTTGCAATAGCTGGGAACAACTCCCCATTTTCTAATACACTGCATTCTCCTGTTGTGAGACGGAGGCTGTGGATACAGCTGGGACCCTGACTTCAAGTGAGCATAAGTATTTTCTGGCAATAGGGTCCTGCTGGAGAGACGATACAATCATAAGTTTTGCTACAAGTACTTGAGATCCTGTGAACTAAATCATTAATGATGATAATAGCTTAAATCAAAGGTCCCTGCCACACTGCAGGGAAAAGGATGGTCGAACTGCGGCAAATCTGAGCCGCAGCAACGTTGAGACGGCGCAGCGAGATCTCACGGATCCCCCGAGCCGCGCCGCCGTCGCTCCCCAGCACAATCAGATGCCGGGGAGAAAGCAACGGTGGAAAGTGGAGGCTGCTGAACTGCGCATGCTCACACATGCGCAGTTCGGCCAGGAGCCGGGTATGCGCCGGCGCAAGGACGCGCCGGCGATCCCACAGCCGCACTTACCACGGCCCATTCAAAAGAACCACCCAGGTAGGTGGTTCTTTTTGGTGCGCTTCATGGGCGGGATGGGACGGATCGGAGACGGTAGCACGACGTTCCCCAGATGTTGCTGTGGGATCGCGCCCGTTTGCTCCGGCCCCGATCCGTCCTTCTCCCAGCCCAAACGGCTCGTATGTACAGGGCCAAAGTCACGTACAGGGAATAATTTCACTTATATCATGCCTACTGGTGACCTGGTGCTCTGATATGATCTATAACTGAAGCAGGGAAACCTGCCCTGGAAGGCCTCTGATACCGCTGTAATTTTACAAATGAAGGTGGCTATACCTCATCTCTGGAAGAAAGGGAGCAATTCTAAGCAGGTCTACTCAGAAGGAAGTCCCATTTTATTTGATGAGGCTTACTACCAAGAAAGAGTTCTTAGAACTGCAGCTGAAAGGCATTTGGTATTTTTGACTGGCTTCTCAGCAGTGGGAGCAGGGAGCAGTGAGGACTAGAATGAGCTCAATGGGTTGTTAATGAAATATTTGTCCTTGTTCGTTAGCCATGTTGGCCTTGTTTGGCAGAAAGATTTTCTTTCAATAACAGAAAACAAAGAAATGATATCCAGGCAAAATGATCCCTGCAACTGTTACTGGCAGAGGATAACACAGTTTTTTAAAGAAGCATTTCTGATGGAAGTAACCTCAGAAATGGAATGGTTAGAGCAGCTGCATTTTAAACCCAACCAGCTTTCTGGCATTGTGCTGCAGCAATGACTCTTTGATGGGGAACTGCCAGGAATCACATTCTGATGTACAAATGTTGGGAGATTATGGTGTGCAAACATAGCCCATTGATAACTCCTCAAGCGTGCTCAAGCAGACAGGAAGTTAGCTCCTGTTTTCACACACTGCTACTTTCTGGAGCCCGCAGATGCAGCTGGTCATGCTGTTTAACTCTGTTGCTCCCTTCCTCAGGAGAAATATGCTTGGTTTGATGCCTGGAGAGTACAAGGATGCGGCACATTCTTGGCCCAACAAAGATTCCCATCCAGAGAAGCATAAATAATTACAAATCCAAACAATCCCTCACTCCAATCCTCATGACAGGCACAAAGTTCCAGGCCTGACTCAGCACCAAGCCTTCCCAAAAGCCAATAGGCCTGGAACCACTGCCCTACTCCCAGCTGCTTATGTTAGGGTGGTGTTACTGCTGAATGGAATGCATGCTGAATGGGAATGCAGAATGAATGGGAGATTTCTTGATTCAGTGTTTAAAATCAGATTTCCTTTTATCTGTTGTAGGAGGCCTCTAGGACTAGTCGGAACAGGTCTATCTTTATTCTTTTGCTGTCCTGACCTGAAACAGGCTCAAGGGTGTGCTGTTTGCTCCATTGGGAATACCTCCGTGTACCTCATCAAGAAATGGGGAGTCCCCAACCAGGCAAAGAGTGCCCCCCAGGGTTGTTTCATGTCAGGAAAATGGTGTGGGGAAGAAGCATGCTGTGGATCCTGATCCTGCACACATGTGAATTCACAGCAGGGAACTCACAGAAACATGTCTGATTGCAAGTCCTTGTGGTGAACCCATGGACTTACTAATGTGTAGTCAGGACCCCTGAGTGGGGATTTGAGCCAAGGTCACTCAGATCCTAGTCTGCCATTCTAAACATTACACCATATACTGGGAGCAGGTTTACTTAGAAGTGGAGCTTATTCCCAAGAAAGAATTCTTAGGATTGCAGCCTGCCTCTATGTGTGTAAAATAATTAAACTGTATATATTTAATGTATTGCATTTAATTATGCCATTCCTTATGCAAGTTTCTGCAGTTGAATACATTGCAGTGTCTAAGCACCATTTGTAACTCAGGTTTCATATTGTTAAAAGCCAGTTTGTAGCCCTCACAGCTGTTGTTGCATTAGAAAATAAGCAGGCAGTGTCAGGGGAAGGCTCACACTCAGCAGTACTAGTTTTCTTTCTCTTCTGACTTTTAGTTATGTTCTGTTGAGTGTACAGATCTGGTCTTTTTCACTTGTCCATAACTCTCCTCCCGTTCTTGCCAAAACTGTACGTTTTGAACAAAACATTACGTGCCCTATGCTTCTGTGGATTACAGAGAAGACTGCATTACAAAGCTGAAAGAAAGGGATAAAGAAAAAATGCAAATCTAGTTAATATAAAATAGTTCTGCAGCAGTTTAGCATGCATGTAGATTTTGCATCAATCTGCATCTAATATTTGCTCCGTTGTTGTACCAAACCCACACTGGAACAGAAAAAGATGCGGCTCAAAACCACATTCAGATACCCCTGGTTAATGCCGTACTGACTGCAGAGTCACCCCTGAATGCTCATCAAAGGCCATAAATCTATTCAGACAGCCACCATAAAACCGAGAGATCAAAGAAGTGAAAGCAGCATGCTATAAAATTCGACAATCAATCAAAGTGAAAGTGGGATGCAATGTAGATGGGAATTTCTGTTCCAGTGTGGGTTTGGTAAGACAGCAGAGCAAATGCTAGATGCAGATTCGGCCTTTGAGTGTTTGAGATTTTGCATACCCATTTCAAAGCCTTGAACATTGGAAGAGTTGGAAGAAAAACTGAGGGTTTATGGACTGATGGCAGCTGTTTGGGGAGCTTTAAGGTTCCTTGGAGTTGTGGTTCATTTTGTTCACTTGCATGGCTGTATCCTGCTTTGTTGGGCTTGCCTTGTGTTTCAGGAGCTAGCCCTGGGGCTCCTGGCTCTTGCTTTGCCATTTGGTCTTTGCTTTTGTAGCTGGAACAAGCTCTGCAAGGAGAGGAGGAAGGAAACACACTTTTCCTGCAGATGAGGCAGCAGTTCAAAGAGGATGAGAAAACATACAAGCACAAGCTGCAGGCCTTTCAGGACGGGCAGGAGCGCCAGGCTCAACTAGTGCAGAAGATGCAGAACAAGGTGGGTGGTGGCACCTTGGCCAGGTTTCTTGAGCCGGAAATTGATGAGGTCTCTTCAGGAGGATCCTGAACAGGAGGCCCTCAGGAGGATTCAGGAGGACAGAAAAGTGGAACTTTGTTCAGAGGTTCTCTGAGGATTAGTGGATTTATGGATTTAGAAAAATGTACCTTATGCATGTCTCTGGCCTTTTTCAGTTTCACTGTTCATCTGATGACTATGTGTGGCTGGTCATTTGTTTGTTCTGCACAGATTGCTACCTGTACGTAGCACATGGTTTATCCAAATTATTTTTCTTGGCTACAAACTACAAATTTGCATGCCTTTTAGGGAAGGATGGGTTGTACCATTTGGCCTGACTGTAATAAAGCCTGGCCTGTGGGCAGGGGAAGTGGAGAGCATGCTCAATGGTGCTATAGAGTGGTGCTAAGAGGTGGGTGAGAGCCAATCTGAAGTGGCAGCTGTAGTGCACTTTGGATTAGATTACAGATTGAAACATGGAGGAGGGACCACAGGGAAAATTGGGAGGGGGTGAAATGGAAAAAGAAAGAACTACCGATCAGCAGGTTGCAGCAATTCCCATTAAAACAATTCCCGTTAAAGCATAGCCTTTTGTATTGTTTTTAGGATCCGTTAAGCTGCCTGGCAAACAGTGTCAGATACTTGCTAGATTCCTGAGAAATCCCTCCATCTACATCTCTCTGAAGTACTTGGAGGAACTGGGAAGCCTTTGGGATGTTTAAAGTGGATGGTGGTCCTGATACTAAAAAGGGCATATTGCATTATTTCTAAAGGTCCGGGAGAGCCCTTTCCATCTTCAGGTTTCTCATCTGATGCTTCTCATTCCCAACCGCGTTGGCAGCCACAGTTTCTCTTGGTTTCTACTTAATCAGCCAGCACTGTGACTTTCCTGTGCCTTGGCTTCCATTCACCAGTGCTAGTAGCCAGGACTGCATCAAGTGCATTTCTTCATAACAATTATTTTAATATTGTCATTCTCCACCCCCTTGCAGATGTTTTTCTCAGGCTGCTTTCTCAGGGAAGGCAGCTTCCATTTCCTCAACTATCCTTCTCCCCAAACACTTATAACAATCGGTATTTTTATATGGCCCACCCCAAAAACTCCAGTTTTAGCAGCTGCATGGGCTTCCCTTCTCTCTGGCTTCTGGGATAGTCATGGATTTAAACTTATGATAGATTCTGCTCCCTAGGAGTTCTGGCTGTAGGCTTGGCCTAGCATACCACAAATTAAAACATAGCAACTCTTGACAATTGTTCCTCCATCTTGGACAAGCATGATTCAGGCAGGGAGAATATGATTAATTAGCGACTCCAATGTATGAAGCTCATCTGAACAAATTGAAGAAAATCAGGGTGCTCTACAACTGCCACCTGTTGGCTTTACTTTGCATAAGGAACACATGCCAAAGACGTTTACTGCCAAATATAACCATTACGGTGTATCACCAGAACAAGATCATAATGAGAAAAGAGAAGACAAGCTGGCTGGAACTGGGTGTGGGGACAGGAAGTGAAGGATTGCACATGGAACATCCTAAATTAATCTGCACCCCCAAATTAAAGAGCAGACATTTTGTAGTTTCCTGTTGCCTTTACGTGTATGAATTCTACATTTTCTGGGGCCAAAAGGCTTGGATTAGGGCGGGTATGTCCAACAGGTAGATCGCGGAGGGGTCAGAGGTAGATCACCAGCCCCACTTGGTCTCCTGGTATAAAATAAAATAAAAAATGTTTGCAGTTCTTTCTCTGTTTTGTTTTTGCTTATTTTGCTTACCAGTAAATAACAGAAGGTGCATTATAAATGGAGGAGGGGTGGAACCCAACTTTAGTGGGTTAAAATCTAATTTGAAACTAATTTGAAACTTTATTTTCATGGTGGTAGATCACCGGCCCTTTTGGCCGGAAAAAATAGATCACTACCTGTTCGAAGTTGGACATGCCTGGATTAGGGAATGTTTCTAGGAGACTGTTTATTCAGTGTAGGTACCAGTTTCAGCCTTGGTGAAATGTTTCTGAAAAATATTTGAATTTTAAGACAGGTGGGCTACAACATTTAACGTTCTGTAATGTGGAATTTGCATGGGTTGAGGTGGATATTAGGATATAGATTCACTCTAGATTTGGTAGTACATTTCCAGTTCTGTTCATCTGACTCCCATCCCTGTGTCCCTCTTACCTGGACTACTTACTCTTGTCTTCTCTTTTAATTCTCTCTGCCTGAACTCTTTGTCCTTTCTGCTCCTTGTCCTAGATGCTGCAATACAAGAAAAGATGTGGGGAACTGGAGCAGCAACTGCTGGAGAAAACCTCTGAGTGCGAGCATCAGAAACAGATGGTCTGTGTGGCTTTTTCCATGCTGTAAATGATAATGATGAAGCCTATGGCCGTTTGACTCTTAACACCATGGGCAATTTGTATATCACTATCCCATCATGCCATGCACATTTAATTGGAGCAAGCCCTTGGCAGACAGCCTAGCCTAATGGCATATATGGTACAAACACTCCTTTGTGTAGTTCATATCATTTAAAGGCTTCCCCCAGTTTTTCGGGATGTCCAGTGTTTTACTAATATGTGGATCACATAGCCAGCCAGCGAGGCACTTTACTTTATGAAAGGGCTATTGAACACAAGAGCCTTTTTCACAGCAGGATACAAACTATCTCTGAAAGATAAGTAAATCACTTGAGTACAATTTACAGACTATGTGAGGTCTAGAGATAGGATTGTCGTTCCTGGAGGGAAGCCTGTATAGGAGTGTAATATACATGTGAATCCCAAACACATGACTGCAGTGGTCATTCAGTATCACTATTAATCTACTGCTTCTATTCAAGCTAGTGACTGAAACTATAGGGCTTATGGTTGAGGACAGCAATGGTTTTCTAGCTAGCCTGTCTCCCTTCCTTCCTTCTTCCCCATTGTATTTGTTGGAAAAGGTAATGTCTGGTATACAAAGAAGAAGACCCTGCAGGGGACAGCAAGAAGACAATTAGATAGGATAGTTAGGTTAGCACCGGCCCTGGTCATACGGGGGATTTTGGCCCGGGAGAGGGACGGATTGGGGGCTCAGCAAACAGGCGCGATCTCACTGCAACATCTGGGAAGCGGCGCGCACCCGTCCCCGATCTGTCCCTACACCCGGGAAACCCGCTGTAAAAAAGAACCTCCTACAGAGGAGGACTTACCTGGAGCACCGCAGCAAGCGCGGCCGTGGGATCGCCGGCACGCTTGTCCTCCGTAGCAATCCAGCCTCCCGGCCGAACTGCGCACGCGCACACATGCGCAGTTCGGCTGCCTCACTGGCACCCCCCCCCCCCAGCATCTGATCGTGCCGGGGAGGAAGTGCACGGTGGCTCAGGGGATCTATGTGATCCCGTCGCCACGTGTCTTTTTTGGTGCGGCTTTAAAAAGCCGCACTTTGCCCGTGTTTTTCCCCCCGTGTGGCAGGGGCCACCTTCTCTTCTCTTAAGTGTCATTTCTTGTCTGTCCCGAGATTGCTACTCTGCGGGAAATTTCCCCCTTCTTCTTGGAAATGCCACGCTCAGTCTTATCCTCTCTCTCAGCTAGAGATGTAGTTAGGAACCAATGTCTCTCCTCTTTCCTATCAAGTATGTTAATTCCCAAATAAACCTTTATCTACCCTTTAATCAGGTTGTGCACCGTTGCTGTGTTAATTACTTTGCCAACAGTATTGCAGGTAGCCATCCAGCAGAGCTGTTCTGAATAGTGAGAGGCTTCTGAACATCATCCAAAGATGATGTTTCCTTGGAAGACTTAGTAGCTTGTTATGGCAAGGCTGTGGGGCTTTTTGCAAATAAAATTGCTTGCTCTGCAGTTGTGACAGTCAAATCCCAGGAGGCTTCTAGGGTCTGATCACATTTTGTTGGAGGCCTTTCTGTTATTGCAGCTCAAGGATATTGGCAAGCTGCTTGGAGAAGTGTGACCTACAACTTCCTCACTTGATCTTTGCCCTTCATGGTTTATAACAGAATGGTAGAGTATCTCCAGGTGTATCCTGGAAGTGATCGATGGCTCCTGGAAATAGATAGTGGTGCTTATTGAAAAAAGCCTATTTAGGTCCCAAGAATCAGCAAAAAAGAAAAACAAGGTGTAGGAAAACTTTTTATTCTTTCTTGATCTCAATGTGTTTTGCCTATGGCTTTGTGAGGGGATCCCTTTTAGCATAAGCTTCCGAACACACCACAACAGTAATGTACTGTACTTGGGATTCACATGTATATTATTCTCCGTTACTGGCTTCCCAAGGTGTGATTGAAAGCTTATACTATAAGGGATCCCCTGACACAGCCATAGGTGAAATGTGCTGGGAGCAAGAAAGAATAAAAAGTTTTCCTACACCTTGTTTTTAGAATCATAGAATCAAAGAATTGGAAGGGTCCATACAGGCCATCTAGTCCAACCTCCTGCTCAATGCAGGATCAGCCTAGAGGATCCCTGACAAATGTTGGTCCAGACGCTGCTTAAAGACTGCCAGTGAGGGGGAGCCTCCACTCCACTCACCACCTTCCTAGGCAGCTGATTCCACTCTTGCACAACTCTTACTGTAAAAAAGATCCAGCCGGTACCTTCCCGCCCTTAATTTAAACCTATTTTTGTAAGTCCTATCCTCTGCTGCCAACAGGAACAACTCCGTGCCCTACTCTAAGTGACAGCCCTTCAAGTACTTAAAGAGAGCAATCATGTCCCCCCTCAACCTCCTCTTCTCCAGACTGAACATTCCCAAGTCCCTCAGCTCTTTCTTTTCTGCTTTTGTTCTTTTCTTCTGCTACTACTGGTGGTTTCCTGACTTCTTCTCTACTTGTTAGTGTTGTAAAATAGTCAAAAGTGTTTAATACTCAGACTATCAATGGATCTTGCTCTATTGGAAAAAAGAGATTTCTTTGCTTTTAAAAACCTTTATTTCTAAGGGTAAAAGGTACACGGGATAACTACAAATAAACATAACACTAACAGCTACATTTTCTAAGCTGTCTATAGTCAACACTAACACAGAGATAATGGAGAATCTGTCCTTCTCCTCGACCCCTAGAAAGGAAGTCACCTGGAACAAACAACCAATCACTTATCACAACAGAAGTTACTTTTCCTGGGCTAATTCCCCATTGGCTTACTGCCAGGTATCCCTTCCAGGTCAGTCTAAACAATAGCAATGCTAGGCAAACAAGTTAACCCTATAAGGAGTGAATTGTCAGACCTTGTAAACACATGCATTTCCAACAGTTAGTTCCCAAGAATCAAAATAATTTGAGGCCAGCTGCTGACCTTCACCAGGAATGGGACAGGGGGAGTGTATCCCTAATAGTTTTGTTGGACCTCTCTGCAGTTATTGATAATATAAACCATTGTATCTTTCTGGAGCATTTGGCTGGGATGGGAATTGGGGACACCACGCTCCAGTAGTTTGAGTTGAACTCCATATTTCCAATAAGTGCAGCTGGGTAACTTTTGTTAATCACCAGTTGAATTGTGCCATGGTGTTCTATGGGGTTCAGGTTTTTTTCTGCCAAGCTGCTTAGTATCCGCATGAAACTACTGTGAAAAGAGTTAGGTGGCTAAATTAGCCTCTGGGATTCATGAGACCTGTGGGTATGTAGAAATATGGGAAATATAACAGTCATGTAAAAAAGCACAGAGTGCTGTGGAATAGATACCTCTATAGTGTCTGTTGGAAGCCCTGCTCAGAGCCCCTCATATATTTTAATATCTATAAATCTAATTCTTAACAGTCCCCTCTACCTGCAGATACTTATTTCCACAAACAGAGGGCACACTCTCCCCAAACAGGGTTTTCTACAGACTCAGGAGACTCCATGGGTCTCCAGAAAAATCCAAAAAGTAAAAAAATTCTCAGGGAGGGTTGAATTCCCCCCAATACCTTTTGAAATGGCCGCAACAGGGATCTACTCCAGGCCACATTGCATCGACAGTGAGAGATAGACTGACTAGTAGCCAGACAGAAAGAGAAAGAGAGACAGAGAGAGAGAATGAGTGGGGGAAGAGAGGAAGAAGCAAAAGCAGAACTGGAGCTGGGTTTGGGGAGGATTCCTCCGGCAGTATGAATGACTAAATAGCAGGATGACATTTTAAATGGACATCTGAGCTTCTCACCTCTACCTCTTTTGCTGTGGGCTCCACTGTACTCTTAAAACTTTCTCAGGGGGGAGGCGTCTAACTGCTTCTCCCCCTCCACCAGCTTGAGACAGACTGGCTGAGAGTGAGGGAGACAGACAGACAGAGATAATGGGTGGAGGAAGAGGGGAGGAAGCAACAGCCAAACTGGAGCTGGGATTGGGAGAATTCCTCACTGCCATTTGCCCATCTCCAATGCTGTTTTTTCCTGCAGTATAAACATCTAAATAGCAGGGGGAAGTTTTAAAAGAACATCTGAGCCTGCAACTGCAAAGCCTTGCAAGCGGGAGAGAAGGATCATTCTCACCGGTATCTCTGTAGCTGCAGGTTCCTCTGTCCTTTAAAAATATTCTCTCCGGCTTCTGACTGCTCCCCCCCCCCAGCTTGGGTACTGCTTCTTCCCACTGCTTCTCTCTTCTAACTGACTAGAAGCCAGGGGGAAGTTATAAAAGGACAGCTGAGGTGTCATTAGTGGATGTGTGGGCACACCACCTTTTAAAACATTCCTTAGCAACCCTGACAGACAAATAAATTGCCAAAGATAGCTGTGGTGCTGTGGGTGAATGTGGACTCATCTCTGGCTGAAGAAGACTGGAGCCTTGCAGCCACACAAGTCTCCATGGCAAAGTGAGAGACTGAACAAGCAAAGGTGCCTCAGGCTGATCCATTGATAAACCAATGGCCATTTAAACAGCTGCTTTTGGCAAGGGCTCTCAGAAGGAGAGAGTGGTACAGGACACCCGTAGCACTTCAAGACCTGCAGTACCCAGTAATAAAAGCCAAGACCAAAAATTGCAAAATGTACGAATATACTTAAAGGAACTAGTCTTCACCCATGACTAAAATGCTTTGAAAATGTAAAAATCCAAGTTTGCAGCACTCCAATCCAAGGATATTTTAGAAATGAAGAAGGAACATTTACATTTAATGTGGTATTCAAAGAAATACTTTAATTAAAAGCAACAAATATTACAAACAGCAGAAGAATACAGAAATGAAAAGAACTGTGACATTTAGAATTAACACATACAGAAACACACCAAACCAAAATAAAAGGTTTAATGTTTTGCATACATTTTGCATACATTTTGGGTCTCATCACAAGGAGTATATACATTAGTAACTACAAATCCTACACTGCAGTTTAAAAAAAATGCAATTACAACTTAAAACAAACTGCAACACATTATGCAACATTTTGTTGCGGGTCCTCATGTTACATATCTAAAGCCTTAGCAGATACTGTCCTTACATTGCCTAGTTTTTTCTGTGAGTTCTGACCTTGGAGGGTGTGAAACAGTTAAGGATTTCTGGATTCTGAGAAAATCGCAACCTTCCATTAAAGAGATTCTGCTCTTTTTAATGTATTAAGGATCAGGCATATTTCTGAACTTCCTGCAAATAAATCATTCTGCTCTTTAATCAGTACTGTTCTACATTCTGTCTTCTTTCCTCATCCCTAGCTCCAAACACGTTTAGACTCAACAGAGTTGCGTTTACGTCGTTTTGAGCATGACCACAATACAGAGTTGGAGAGTGCCCTCATCCGCTTGGAGGAAGAGCAACAGAGGTAAGGTTACAGTTTGCTGCCGTGATGCATTCTAGCAGAGGTGTTCCATCTATTCTGGTGCTGAGTGATTATGCCTCAGAGAAGATTGAATCTAGAGAACACAGGAGTAATTTGGAGCAACAGAAATATTAACTTGGGAGGTATAATCAGGTAACATTCTTGCGCTGACTCTATTCATGAATAAATGTTTTGATAGTGATGAGATTAAGTCTGGTTTGTTCTGTGGCTCATGCAGTCCCTCCTCTCCTGGAGTGTGAAGGCAAAATTAAAATTTACTCATTTCAGAAGGCATTAATATAGTCTCTCTTTGTTGTGATGCACAAATGTGGCCAATTTAACAATTTTCAGCTTGTTTCTTACTTACAAATCTGGGCAAACCCCCAATTTGTTAAAATGTCCAGTTCAGACATCATAACAAATTTTCTTTAGATTGAGAAATTCCTTAGGAAGTCTTCATTCTTGGCTCTGCATGTGAGAGGAAAGGTGGAGACTGAGTATGCAATCCTGAAAATAAATCAGACTCTGTCTTGTCACAGGAATTAAAGGCAGCATGGTGTGGTCTGATCTTGTTAGATCTCAGAAGTTAAACAGGGTCAGTGCTTGGAAGGGAGACCACAAAGGAAGACTCTGCAGAGGAAGGCAATGGCAAACTGCCTCTGCATCTCATTTGCCTTGAAAGCCCCTTCCTAGGGTTGGCATAGGTTGGTTGTGACTTGACAGCACATTATACACACACACACACACACATCTTGTCACAAACTCAGCTTGTTTATGATGTCTGAATGCAGTCATATAGTATGAATGCCATACTAGCAATTGTGGCTCATGTAGAGCCTTTAACGCAGTAGGAGCCTGGACTTTAGAACAAGGAGCTGGAATGAATGATGCAGGCAGAAGCCCCCAGCACTTTGCCCATTATGTCAGTAGTGCTGGACAGATCAATGAAGTGCCCATTGAGAATGACCTCAGAACCTTGGACCTATTTTGCTCCATAAACAACCTTTTTGGAGAAGATTGTACCTATTTGGCAGTGTTGGTGGGTTGAGGAGGTAATATATGCCAAGAGGATGAGTTCCTTTTCCAAATGTCCTCTGTAAAAGAGAATGTTCCATCTGGATAATTACTAAAATGTTTTTCTGAATGGGCATGGAGATGTACAGGAATTCAAGAATATAATAGAACTCTACCACCCTGTGATGGTCAGGAAGGAAAACATTGTCTATATGGTTTGCTTTTATTGTAGGAGTACCAACCTTTCCCAGATGAATACTCTGCTGCGGGAACAGCTGGATCAGATGAAGTCTTCAAATCAGAGACTAGCAGGAGAGCTCGAAAAGGCAGCTATGGATTTGCAAATTCTGAGGAATGAAATGGAACAGAAAGAATCACAGTTGCACAAGGGCAGGGAGGTAAATCCTATTAACTTCATAACTGCCTTGCAAAATCACGCTTTTAAGAATCATACATTTCATTCTCCTGCTACCACAGAGTATGGGATAAGTCAAGGGAATTGTGGGTGTGTGTTGACCTTGATTTCAGAGAGCATGAAAAGAAAGCCATTGACAGGATCAGGACCAGGGAATTCCATGAACATCAGCCATCCCTGCTCCGTCACTTTCCCCTTCCCTAGATCAGTTCAATATAGATTATTTTAAAAAAGCTTTTAGATCCAGAGGATGAGGGGTAGTTAATTGATTGCCAGGTTCAGTGCTAGCTGGTAGAAAGTTGGAACTTGCTACCATTTTCCCTCCTCCCTCCTTCTTACTGCTGATACTGTTTGAAAGGAGACAGTGGAGTAAAGTATTTGGTTCTCTCTCAGCCTTCTTGGTGTCTGTGAAACCAGCAGAAATCATGTAGGACTTCTTTTCAATGTTGCTTTATCCAGGGATACAAACAGGGAGGCAATTTCTAGCTGGTGTCAGAATTAAATATCAAATTGCTGTTTTTTTCAGATTCAGTCTTTTGAGAATGCCATAGCCCATAAGTTTCTTTCTTCTTCTTTTTTTGGTTACAGTTTCATGAACCTAATATCTCCCCTTCTCAGTTAATATTTGAAGTTTAAGAAAGAGCTTTACATCACTCAGTTGTTCTTTGGCTCTGTATTCAGTTGACATTGACTACAGTCCTATCAGTACAAGCCTATGCAGAGTTACTCTCACCCAGAGGTCATTTTGTAGAAAAAGAGGTGCAGGAGCTCATTAGCATAACTCATTAGCATAACTTCTTTGCGTATGCCACACCCCCTGACATCGCTGGAAGTGTGTCAGAAGACAACACCCACTGCTCAGGCTCCACTGGACTGTGTTGGATTGCTAGCTATCGGGGGGTGGGGAACGTGCAGATCTGCCCTCACAGAGAAGGGAGACCTTGTACCTGAATAAAACTTGGTCTTAAAGGTGCCACTGGACTGTTTTGGATTGCTAGCTATGGGGGGGAGGGGAACGCGCAGATCTGCCCTCACAGAGGAGGGAGCGCTTGTACTTGAAGGTGGGCTGGGGGGTGGCTCTGCAACTTACCTGGCTGCTTCTTGCTCCTCGTGGCTCGACTGAGGGCTGCTGGGAGCAGGGGGCGAGGCTTGTTGCATGTGCCCGCCCCCTGGCCTCCTTACTACAGGAGCTCCGCTCCTGTGTGCTTCCACAGGAAATTACCCCTGCTCTTGTCTAAGTCTGTTTATTTCACTGTCTGTTAGCTATTTCTAGCTTTCAGAAAATTCTGGTTTTACTTAATTTTTGACATTCTTTGTAATACTTTAACTCAGATAGATGTACCTCTGTCATCAGCATGGTATAGTAGATGGACCATAGAAAATGGGTTCAAATCTCCTACTAGAGGGCCTTGGGCCACTCATTTTATGTCAATCTAACATATCTCACATGGTTATTGTGATGATAAAATGAGGTAACTTGGTGTGTGCTATGCTGAGATCCTTGGAGGAAGGGTGGGATTCAAATGTTATTACTAATAATAATAATGTCATTTTTGCTATTGCTGTAGTGTTTCCAACTGCTACTAACCTGCTGTAGTAGTGCCTCAGTTAAAATTAAAATTAAAAGTTATGTTACTCTTCCACAGACCTTAAGGCCACCAAGGTACTACTTGAACTTTAAAACTCATTGTAAATGACTCCTCTGTGAGAAGGAGCCTAGATCCAGTGAGAAACGTTGAAACCCTCTGCTCTAAACGACAAAGTTTATTTATATTTATTTATTTATTGTGGTGCTTAAGAATAATCCATACGTATGGATTTACAAGCATTAAGACATGCTCATTTATGCAGCAAAATATTAGCTCATTCTGTATCCTGGCCAAGTTCTGAGCTCAGAATTTTATTTGCTCAGCCAAAGTTGATGCCAACCTCACTACAATGTTGGAAGGGGATGCATTTCTTTGAGTCCCTGGTTTGTATTTTAGCTGTGCAGTGTTGTTGTGTGTATTTGGGGGTGGCGCAATATCCCTGTGTGCTTGGAAAGTACAGTGTACTGGAAACTGAAAGTTAGTTGGTATGTTATTTATTCATTTTAGAATGTTCTATCCCATTTTAAGAAAAATCATTACAGCTTGCAGAACAAGAAATGTCCTAAAATCAATTCCAGCATATGAGAACAGGATTTTCTGTAATGTTTCTGCATCCCTGTGCCAGTGGCACTGGGTCTAGATTTCCAAGGGCTTTACATAATGTCCTCTTACTCATACAGGAGACTTTGGAAGATGCATTTGTATAGAACAGTAAGTATTACAAATGCAAGAGATTTCTTACTGCAGCAGCCCTTCAACAAAGTTATAAAGTGTTGGAACTGCACTATTCCAGTCATGCTCTTACCATTGTTCTTCCCAGAGTTGTAGTTCATATTTAAGCAGTGAGCACAGTGGAATCCTTTTGCTATGGCGGCAAGCTGCAATACTTCGTGGCAACTTTGCAGAGCTCCGCACCACAGTGGAGAGGTGGGTGCAACGTAAAGGTGATCTTGCTACCAAAGCAATCCTGATTGCTGAGCACACAATTATGATGGAGAGAAATATGCTAAAGATCTGACAACCCTGGGTTGATTTTTCAGAAGCATTCAGCCTCATCGGCTCCAAAACTACAGTAGGGGCTAGTCATTGAAATTTCTGTGTCCTCTAAGAATGTTAGGTTCAGTAACCATGTATTTTATTTTTATTTAGTACCGTTTTGGCCTGTCCTTCCTCCAAGGAACTAGGGTGGCATACATGGTTCTCTGCTTTTTCATTTTATTTCTTGAAACAACTCTTTGACTTGGGTCAGATTGAAAGAGCATGACTGGTCCCAAGTCACTCAGTAAGTTTCATGGCAAGCAGGGATTTGAAGAACCTGGGTCTCCCTGGGCCTAGGCCAAAGCTATGACTGCTATACTACATTGTAGAAAATGGAAATCAGATTATAGGAATGTTTACATCATTATGATTCAGATATATGCTGACAAAAAATAAAATCCCTTTTTCGTATTTTGGCTCCTAAATTGCAAGCAGTCACGAGGGGAAAGGGCACGCTGGTCTCTGCAACCAGCCAGATGCCCAAAGGCTACTTTGCAGTTTTTGTTTTGGGGTGAAGTGGGATCTGCATTGAATTTAACGTACTGTTTGTAAGCCCCCCTGAGAACCAGTTGCTCAAAAGGCAGGATACACTTCTTTAAAATCAATAAATATGAATATCTGAAAGGTTACAAGCACATTTTTTACTATGGTATACCTGATCTTGGGGGAGGGGGTTGTGTGTACATACTTTGTTGTTGTTGTTCAGTCGCACAGTCAAGTCCGACTCTTCGCGACCCCATGGACCACATCACACCATGCCCTCCTGTCTTCCGCCTTCCTCTGGAGTTTGCTTAACTTAATGTAATAGTGCAGTAATACGTGTTCCTAGTGGTTGCTGACATCCTAGTTATACAGCAGTATGGTGGATAACAGTACTTGTTAGGCTTGGAGATGTGACATCATGATGTGTGTAGATTCTGATTCTTTTAAAAAACTTCTAACCCTTCATTACAGAGGTTTTGCTGAAACAGGAACTGACATGGCAAGAGTAGGTCGCCGCCTCCAGACAGCCTGTCTCAATTTGGATTCTAACCTGCGTCTCTCTGAAAGCAGCTCTGCTTGTTTGCTGGAGAAGCAGCTTCGTGACAAAGTCCGGGAGATGATGCAGCAGCAAAGTCTCTGGGATGGAGAAAAGGCTGGCCTAAACTCCAGGTGAGAAGAGCACCTGTGAGTCAGAACATTAGAGGGCCTCAAAGGGCATACAGACTGACTCCTTCCTTGTTCTGTTACCATAGAGAGACAGCCCTCAGTCTACTTCAGCAGATCCCAGGCAATACAGAATACTGTGGTGGGGCAGATGAATAAAACAAAAGGCCCTTTCAACGAAGATCACTGCTAGTAGTTTGGACACTTATCCCACCAGTATTTGTCATCAGCAGGTTTTGCAGGTTTTTATGTTCATCCTGTTTGACTAGAGGCAACAAGCGTGTACCATAGAAGAGAGGCCACTTTCACCTCCCTTAAAAATATTTATGTAGCCCTATGATTTCAAGATACTGCATGAATTTGCAATATCTATTTCAGGGGTGTCAAACAGTGGCCCGGGGGCCAAATAAGATCCCCAGAGGGCTTCTATCAGGCCCGCAGTGGAACTGGCTTTCTCCTGCTTCTTCTTTCAGTTTTGCTGCTGCATCATCCTAGCTTGCTTTGCCAGACTCTCTCAACCACTCAGGAGAGATAGATAGGCAAGCTTCTGTTCCCTGCACTGGCTGAGCCACCCTCCCCCTTCCCCTTCCAGGGGGAGGGAGGGAAGGAGCCAGAACTTGCTTCCTGGCCAGGCTGCCTCAATCGCACAGGACAGAAAGGCAAGCCTTTCTTCCCTGCCATTGGCTGAGGCGCCTCCCTGAAGGGAGGGAGGGAAGGAGAGAGAGCTTGCTTTGCTTGTCTGCCTCAGTCCCATGGGAGAAATACAAAGCACCTTTAAGACCAACAAAGTTTTGTGTGTCTTGCTACAGTGTGTGTGTTTTGTTGGGCTTGTTATGCTGTGACTCTCCTGGGTGCAACTGGGTTTCCCTCCCCCTTTTCACTGTATTCATGCCCTCATGATCCAGTCTTGCTCAGTAGGAAAGCAATGTGAATTATTTAGATGAGGAATAACAACAAGGTGGATTAGGCTGAGAGTGTGTGTCCAGACCAAGTTCACCCAGCACATTTCCTTTGGGAACTTTGAACTTACTTTTCAGATAGTAGACCACTGAGGAAGACTATAGTTTTGTAGACAAACACATAGCCCTCAGTCTGTGCCATGGTGCCTTCTTATGCTCTTGACCAGCATATGAAGCAATTTATGTACAAAAGCTTGCAAGGCCCAGCCATTTCATGTTTTCCCCTGAGCCGTAGGTTCAGAACTCTGAGCATGAGATTTCTGTAGTGAATGTCAATAAATAAAAAGTAGATTTGGTGCTTACAGATACACACTTGAACAGCATACTCAAGATTGCAACAGCACAGATATTTTGATGCAATAATTCAGAGCAAGAGGTGTCAGTTATAAGACACTGTTAAATAAACAAAATACTGCAAGAGTGTGAATGTTTTAAGCATGATTTTATTTTAAGTAAAAAAAATCTTTAGTTCTGTTTGTGTCCTTTATAAAGTTTATATCTCCACTACCTGGCATTATATTTTATGGCACACATGGTCCGGCCCAACAAGGTCTCATCTATGTCAGATGTGGCCCTCATAACAAATGAATTCGACACCCCTGATCTATTTTCTTTAATGAACGAAAAAATGGAACTCTTTGGGTAACTTATTCTCCCTTGTGATATGTTAACCTGTGTTTGGTTGTGTCTTCCAGGATTACAGAGCTAACTGCTTTAGGAGATAAACTTAAAGAACAGAACACAAAGAAAGAGAAGACCATCTCTGCCTTAAAAATGGACATTCAGAAATTGGTACACATATCCACAAACTCCTCTTTCTGTTGCTCTCATACGACACAAATACCCTTACCAACAAACATGTTCTCACAAAGAGGCATACACTCACTCATAAATATGTGTTCATACTGCCACACACACTTACCTTCTCATACTTTTTTTGATCTTTCCCCTATGTCCATTTCTGAGAGACTGCTTATCTTTGAACACTAGGAGACCAGTAAGATTGGCGATCTAGAAGAGGTGAAGGACCTAAAGGAGGAAATTGACTCTTTGCAGCGTATCTTGAACAGTATCACACAGGTTTGTGCAATTTCATCCTATGCTCATCCCATTAGAGGAGAAGGGAATTACAGAAGGTCCATTTGACAAGGTCCATAATGGCTCACTACATGTCATTTGATGATAGAACTCTCAATCATAATTTTTAATAAAGAATGGGACACAATTCACCAGGAAGGTATAAGTTTCTTCTAAGGCTCTTTCACAGGTACCCCTGACTTCTGAGTTTAGGTGGGTGGTTACTGGAGAAACATCCTTTTCTGTTTTCTGTTCTGGAACTTCCTCCTTGGCGAGATTGTTTGACACTATCATTACTCTCCAAGTTAAGTCTAATCCTGTTCACATAAACTTTTAATATTAATTCACTTTTATGTCTTTTACTGCTACTGATTTTTGAAATGTTGTATTTGTATTGCTGACCACATTTAATTTTAATTTTATTGAGGTGTTTTGAAGAGTTCTAGGCCACCTTGATAATTCTGCAATGCTTGTGTTTAAATAAATAGAAATAAGTTCACCTGTACGAGACCCATTTGAAATGAACCATGTTGTGCAAGAGCATTGCCATCATCTGGCCCAGCTTCCATTTATTCCAGTGGGGCTTGAACAGGAAGCTACTCAGTGGATTGTGCCCTTGTTTTATACTTGTTTATGTGCTAGTGACTAGGAATCTTTAGGCTTCTCTTGAGCACAGTTTACTGGTTCCTTGTTGGATCATAAGACTTGAATTGACTTTAGTATTGACAGCAGGGGGCGGAAACTAGGCAAACATAGACTGGAACCCTGAAAGGGCTTTTGTTGTGCCCTGTGGGTATGGATTTTACAGTATGTTTTGTCCAGCTCTTTATGGGCTGGCATTACCTGCCTGTGATTAAGCAGTCTTAAGGAGAGGTGCCCCCGCCCCAGTGCCTACTGTACCTTTAGGCATTTTAATGCATAATTAGTAATAATTAATGTTTCAAAGATTTCCATGGCTTCAGAGTGTGAGGGCAACTTGCCTCTTGCAAGGAACCATTCAGTGAAAGGATGGTATCAACATTTCCTTCAGAGGAAATGCATATTGTTCCACATCTCCATGAGGGACATATATTTGCAGATGGACCTTTTTACTTGTGTAGCATGCATTTGGCAACAGAAAGCTCAGATAAATTTGGGATCCAAACAGCTGTTGTCTTGAATGTAAAGGACAGGACCCACCGCTCCCCATTATTGCTCCCCATTATTGATCTGAGATTTCAACTAGGCTCATAAGAGTCAATCAAGATGTGCATGTATGAAACAAGCAACCAAGTACCTAAATATAGCTTTAAAGGCCTATTTTTGTTGCTGTTTTTGTATTGTAACAGTATAAAGCTAAAGCAGTCTTTTGAAAACACTGAAAAAAATGATACCAATATTACCAAATTATGTTATTTTCAGTGTTCTGCTGACCTTGTTTGCAACTATAAAATAAATCACTTTTATTAGGTATGGCACCATTTCTGTTCTCAGTAAAGCCATGTGAAATTGGCATCTGAACTAACAAATAAAGAGATGTTTAGAATTTCAGTTTCAAGCCCCATGTTTTAAAGCTTTGCTGAATGTAGCTGCCTAGCAGATCAGGTTGAGTGGGATTCACTTCCTCTCTGCTCTCATCACAGTTGGCCCTGGCTGAATCTAAAAGCACAGGACTTACCTCCTCGGAAAGTGCAAAAACTGCAGCAGAGGAGGAGGTCCTATGGCGTACTTCCCCTCTGCGCTCCAGCTCTCCCCATCGTCGGTGGACATCGCCATCCCGGACACGTTCTCCCGGGCCAAACAGAGCATTGCAGTCAGTGCAGGCTGTTATCCAGCAATCACAGCAGCGTGAACAGGTTGGCTTGATTGTAATGTACACTGCATTTGTGGTTAAAATAAATATAACATGGTAATATATAATCATCAAAAGAATGTTGCTTAAAAAGCTATTTTAGAATATTTGTACAATTGTATGCTTTTCAGTCCTAAAATAGACTGTATTATGAGTTTGGATGTCCTGATTACAGGTAACACTCCGTAACTATGGTTTTAGGTGAAGGTTCTTGCTGATAATTTGGTTAGTTGGTGAAAATTTGGCAAAATACAGTTTGGGAACAGTTATAGCTCTGAATGTGAAGATGGAGAAAACTGTGAATTGGCTGAAGGTGCAGGGGTGCCTGATTCTGTGTTAGCAGATTTGCTGTCTGCTAAAGGAGTGTCTACTTGCTTTCATTATGCTCTTCTTCAATAAGACAAATATTCCAGAGATACCATAAGTCTTCAGGACTTTTTCATCCAAAGGAAACAAAACCTTGCCACACTGCCTTTGGGCATTGGACACTAATATCTGTAATTTTATTACTGTTATTTTTCACTTGTGAATGTTAATCATTCCAGATTAAGTTTGTGAATGTCTGAAAATACATACATACATATATATATATAGCTGTACCTATAACACAAGATCCCACCTGCCCCCCATTTCACTGTTGATATGAATTGTAATCTATCTATGTGCAGAGTCTACCTCTGATTTCTGTACAGTACCTTGCACACTGATATGTCTATACTAACATTAAATAATAAAAGTAGCCATTTCTTTAACATTGCACGTTTATTTTGTCACTAGCACAATACACACCATTATGGGTAAGGCAGAACTGTGGATTGTAGAGAACCTTGTCAGAGGGACTGGAAAGACATCCAAAGGCTAGGCTTCACTAAAAGGCACCCTTAAGGACAGGGCACTGATGCAATTTCCATGAAAGGTGGGGGCAGGCTTTCCATCTTCATCACCATTTTCACATGGTAGGGCAGTTGCTGCCATGACTTCTTGCACTGGCTCTTGCAGTGTGTTCACCTTTTAGATGGCAGGAAGATGGGCAGGCATACCTCATCGACAGGGTACCATGACTAAACACTGAAAACCACAGGAAGGTGCGTAGAGTGTTTGCATGCAGAAGGTCCCAGATTGAATCCCCAGCATCTCCAGAGAAGTGATGTGGAAGACCTTTGCCTGATAACTTGGAGAGTCCTTGTAAATAGCAGTAGACAATACTGACCTTGATAGACCAGTGGTCTAACAGTATAAGGTATCTTCATGTGTTCATCTGACCTAGTTTTTATTTATGTATATGTAAAGTACTGGGTCCAGACGTGTTGTATTTATTTATTAGCTCATATTTTATTAAAGGCAGGAGAAAACTGAGATGCCCTCACAGGGGCCAGAGCCTGCTTAAATGCTCGTTTCATGCCACACCCAACACACTCACCCACACACGTGATTGGTTTATTTACAGTGCACCCACACCCATAGGTCCCTTCTAGGATCCTGACTGCCCTATTGGTCCGTTCTAGGATCCGTGCTCGCTATTGTGTTGCTATTCCGGTCATGAAGCTCTGCTAGTTCGCATGACCACGTGTGAGCCTGACCACATTTTTGGTCTTGGTTAATACACAACACCCCTCTCCCCAAGGTTCAGACTGTCCTGGCAAACAAAGTCCTGGAGATATGTGGGTCTCCGCCATTCCCAGGTCGAGCGGCGGAGCTCTGGCGCTAGCACCCCCTGCTCTGGGGCCGTCAGATGGTGTCCCTGGAGTGCTGGCTGGGGCCGGTTCCTCATGGTGTTCCATGCTGTGCCCCTGCTTGGAGTTCTCGCCACCATCTTGGGTGGGTATCTCGCTTGGCTGCTGCTGGGCTTCCGCGGAGTCATCGGGCTCTTCTGGCTTGTTGGGCTCCGGCCCTGATACCTTGTCCTTGCTGTACTCAGGCATGTCAGCGTTCGTGGGGAGGAGGTGACGACGGAGCTGATCAATGTGTCATCTCAGAAGCTGGCCGTCTTTGGTGGTGAAATCGTAGGACCGGGGCCCGGTTATCCTGACCATCCTGACCAGAATCCATGCGGGGCCCCAGGCATAGTTCCTGGCGTACACGGGGTCTTCTGGGAAGAACCCTCGTGCAGCCTTCTGACTCTCTGGAGCAGCGCTGTGCTCGGGTGCACGATCGGGGTGCAGATGGTCTAGTCTCGTGGTTAGCCGCCGTCCCATCAGAAGTTCGGCTGGGCTGCGGACGATTGTTGTGTGTGGGGTTGTTCATTGGCCGAACAGGAAGGCGGCCAGCCAGTAGTCCCAGTCTCCCGGACCCATGTGCTGAAGTGCTTCCTTGGTTGTTCGGACCATTCTTTCCGCCTGGCCGTTCGTTGCGGGGTGAAAGGGTGCGGAGCAGATGTGGCGGATCCCATAACAGCACACAAACTCCTGGAATTCTGCTGAGGTGAAAGCTGTCCCATTGCCCATCACCAGGGAATCCGGAATGCCATGTGTGCTAAAGATGCGTCACATCGCACGGATGTTGGCCTGAAATGAGGTGGAGGGCGCTGCCGCCACTTCCAGCCATTTAGTGTAGGTGTCTACTAGGATAAAGAAGATCTGTCCCTGGAAGGGGCCGGCAAAGTCTAGATGTAGCCGAGCCCACGACTTGTGTGAGGACTTCCATTGTTGCACTGGGGCTCTGGGGGGTTCTGGCCGTAATTCCAGGCACGTCTGGCAGCGCCTTACTCGGTCCTTGATTTCCCCGTCTATTCCTGGCCACCACACATAGCTCTGTGCCAGTGCTTTCATTCGCACTATTCTGGGGTGCGTGTTGTGTAGAGCTGTGAGCACCTGCTGGCATAGTGGAGCGGGTATTACAACTTGGCTTCCCCAGAGCAGACAGCCCTTGTGGGATGACAGTTCATCCTGCCAAGATGAAAATGCTGCAAACTCTGGTGGGCCACCATCTCCCCACGCAGTCCAGGACCCTGGCAAGGAGGCGGTCACGGGCGGTGTGGCAGGAGACATCAGAGACCTGGATGGGGCAGTCAGAAAGATCTTCCAACAGGACAACATGGTGGGCTGGAGCCGGGTTGGGATCGCAAGACAGTAGCAGGAGGCGGCTGAGGGCGTCAACGTGACCCATCGCTTTACCGGGGCGGTGGATGAGCTCATACTGGTACCCGGCCAGGAAGATAGACCAGCGGAGCACCCTTGGGGACAACATCTGCGGGTTTCTGGTGGTCCAGGGCGAGTAACCCCAGGAGGGGCTTGTGAACTGTGACCATGGTGAAAGGCTGGCCATAGAGATAATCGTGGAATTTCTTTATTCCAGCCATGATTGCCAGGGCCTCCTTATCGATTTGGGCGTAATTGCGTTCAGCCGAAGAGAGGGTCAGTGAGTAGTAAGCAATAGGAACCTCTCTGCCATCTGCCAGTCGGTGCCCCAGGACTGCCCCGACCCTGTATGGGGAAGCATCACAAGCCAGGACCACCAGGAGGGACTCATCGAAATGGGTGAGGACAGAGTTGGATGTCAAGAGTTCTTTTACTTCCCTGAACGCTGTGGCGTGTTTGGGACCCCAGACCCACAGGGCATTCTTATAGAGCAGGCGGTGCAGAGGTTGCGCAACGGCAGCCTTGTGGGGCAAGAAGGAATGATAAAAATTTAAGAGTCCTTGGAAGGCTTGGAGTTCTGCTTTTGAGGAGGGGGCAGGCACCTGCACGATGATGTGGATCTTCTCTGACATCGGGTGGATGCCCTGTGCATCGAGTGTCCTTCGTAGTTTTGGATCCCAGATGCCCCGGACAAACTGGTTCAAAAGGGCGTCCTAGATGGCAGGAAATTCACAGTTGATTGTCAGCCTACAAACGGCGGCCATGAAAACGGCGGCTGACTCCCTGGACTTCTGGATGCACGCAAAGAAGTCCATGCGCAAAGCCATTTTGGACAGTCTCGGAGTGAAGTGGTCCGTGAGAGCCTTGACCAGCTCGTCGTAGGTGGTGGCCTCTAAGGTTACCAGAGTGATGAGGCTCCGGACCTGTGCTGAGCAGCCATGCTTTCTTCTTGGCGGCATCCTCCGTACCTTGGGTCTGGAAGAAGTATTTTAGCTGTTTGACCCATGCTTCCCACAGCTTGGGGTGAGTTGGGTTGAAGACGGTGATTCCCAGAGCAGCAGCCATGATCGGAGGAGTGGTGCGGGGCACGGTGAGTGGGTTCTCGGTGCGCGGTGTGTTGCTCAGTGCAGACTCTGGAGTCCCGGGTTCCTATGCTTGATCTGGTGTGCTCATCAGGATCCCACCTTCATCGCCAGTGTAAAGTACTGGGTCCAGATGCGTTGTAGTGATTAGCTCATATTTTATTAAAGGCAGGAGAAAACTGAGATGCCCTCGCAGGGGCCAGAGCCTGCTTAAATTCCTGTTTCATGCCACACCCACACACGTGATTGGTTTATTTACAGTGCAGCCACACCCATAGGTCCCTTCTAGGATCCTGACTGCCCTATTGGTCTGTTCTAGGATCCCCTCTCTCTATTGTGTCCGGTTGCGAAGCTCTGCTAGTTCACATGACCGCGTGCGAGCCTGACCACGTTTTCGGTCTTGGTTAGTACACAACAGTATATTTGCTACCTCTTTCATGTGCTTAGATTTATCCCAAACATGTATTTTGATGTTTATTTTTTTAAATCTAGCTTCCTTTACTATAAGACTCTCATGGTGGAGGGAAGTGTTGATCATAGCACTTGGTCCATCTGTTAAATGGGGTGTCTGATCCCCTGTGTGTATCATGTTATATGACACAGAAGGAGCCTCGTGTTTGATCCGTCTTTTTATGAACAGGAGTTGCGTGTGCAGCTGGAGTCTTGCCGGGATGCACTGGGATCTGTCAAGAAGCAGCTTTCTGACTACCAGCAGGAAGCACAGGCAGCAAACAGGCGGCTGCAGGAACAGAGAGAGGAATGTGAAGCACTTACTGGGACCTTAGAAGATTGCAGGCAGGAACTGCAACGCTGGAAAGCCTCCGTGGAAAATCTAGGAAGGTGAAGGCAGACAGGGGAAAGGGGAGGTTCAAGAGCTGTTTGTGTTCTCAGGTGATATGGCTGTAACTCAGCTTCCCAGTAGTTGTGACTTTTGAATCTGTATTCCAGAAAGAAAGCTGTGTTATATATCTGTGACTGCAAAATCTCCCTGCGGTGCACCATTCTTTTACACCCTTTTCAGTTGTTATGATTTTGGTGCTCCTACCAAATGTCAGGAAAGTGTACCTCGCATGAGCCTCTCATAAGAACATAAGAACATAAGAGACGCCAATGTTGGATCAGGCCAAAGGCCCATCCAGTCCAACACTCTGTGTCACACAGTGGCCAGAAATACCAGTGCCATCAGGAGGTCCAGCAGTGGGGCCAGGACATTAGAAGCCCTCCCACTGTTGACCCCCCCCAAGCACCAAGAAGACAGAGCATCACTTGCCCCAGAGCCCCTAGCTATACCTTGTGGCTAATAGCCACTGATGGACCTCTGCTCCATATGCTTATCTAATTCCCTTTTGAAGCCGTCCATGCTTGTAGCACCCACCACTTCCTGTGGCAGTGAATTCCATGTGTTAATCACTCTTTGGGTGAAGAAGTACTTCCTTTTATCCGTTCTAACCCGACCGCTCTGCAGTTTCATGGAGTGCCCACGAGTTCTTGTATTGTGAGAAAGGGAGAAAAGTACCTCTTTCTCTACCTGCTCTTTCCCATGCATAATCTTATAAACCTCGATCATGTCACCCCTCAGTCGTCTTTTCTCCAAGCTAAAGAGCCCTAAGCGCTTTAACCTTTCCTCATAGGGAAAGTGTTCCAACCCTTTTATCATTCGAGTTGCCCTTTTCTGCACTTTTTCCAAAGCTATAATATCCTTTTTAAGGTGTGGTGCCCCGAACTGCACACAGTATTCCAAATGAGGTCTCACCATTGATTTATATAGGGGCATTATTATATTGGCTGATCTGTTTTCAATACCCTTCCTAATAATCCCCAGCATAGCATTGTCCTTCTTTATTGCAGTCACACACTGTCTCGACATTTTCAGTGAGTTATCCACTACAACTCCAAGATCTCTCTCTTGCTCAGTCTCTGCCAGTTCAGACCCCATCAATGTGTATTTATATTTAGGATTTTTGGCTCCAATGTGCATCACCTTGCACTTGGCCACATTGAACCCCATTTGCCATGTTGACGCCCACTCGCCCATCCTTGACAGATCCCCTTGGAGGATAATACATGTTTGCCATTTAGTGTGATACATGTTTGTTACTGTAATACATGTTTGCCATTTAGTGTGAGTAGGGCCAACACGCATGTTTTCCAGCTTCAGTACACGTGATTGGAAACCAGATTTTTGAGGACATGCATTCATGTGTACTGAAGCTGGAAAATACATGTGTTGTCCTAGTCACAGAAAATGGCAAGTGCATTTATTGAAAGGATCAGGCATAACACGTTCTCCAGATACACAAGGGCAAGCACAATAATCCTAATGAATGAAAATGACAGCATTTGGCTCTGGAAAGTGGGTGGAGGAAAACAGAGCACAAATCTCTTTTCCTTGTTAATATTTATTTATTTAGAAAAAATGTACGCCACCTCTCCGGGGATAGAGATGGACCCACTGCTCCAATGATCCATCCATTCCATTCCATTGTGCTTCCTGCATAGAATGTAATGGATGGATCATTGGAGCAGTGGGTTCATCTCTATCTGCCCTGTCCCTGTGATGAACCCTCTGCCTGTAACCTTCTTTCCACTTGGAGACAGAGAGCAGGTTCAGAGAGATCCCAAATACCGGTAAACCAATTATGTTGTACCAATTTGTATGTTACTTTCTACTCATGGAATGCTGAGTGAAAACAGGGTATGTTCATGAACCTGATACTTTAGATAACCTTTCTTCTCAAACAAGGCCACAGCTTTGCTGGCATGCCATTGAAAAGGATTCTTCTCAAGTTTTTTGGTCAGCTAGCTGGAGTTCTTTCTTTTCACTCCAGGCCCTTCTAACACCAGGCTTTCCATGCATCCCACATTCTGCTAGTATTCTTAAAGGTCATGCTCAGGCTCCACTCCCTTCTTTCTCTCACCCCAGATAATAAAGACTGGAAGGACTAGGGGCAGGACTACTTATTACTCCAAGACATCATGAAAGCCCAATCGCCCCTTCTCCTTTGCAAAACAGGACCAGGAGGGTTCAGTTTTCAGTAGAGAAGGTGCTTAACCTTATTTATGTACTGAATTATTTATATCCAGCTTTTCTCCCCAGTGCGGACACAAAGTGGCTTGTAATACAAAGAAGACAATAAAACAAGCAAACCAGAAAAGCAGGGGAAGGACTTCTGAATAGAAAAAAAGCAGATCTCCCTCTCCCCTTTCTCCCTCGCACATCCTCCTCCCAGCTCTAGGCTCCAGCCTTTCAGACTAAGAGCCCTTTTCCTCACTCTCACTGCTTTTTACCCCCTGCTCTGCCTCATATATACAGGTGTCACTCTCCCACCCCAGGATTCCAGACCAGGGATTCCTTTGTTGTCAAAAAGGTGTGGGCCTTTGGGTTGAGAAGCAGAGCAGGGAGTGAGAAAATGGTTAAGAACCACTTGGTGCTTCCTTGTTGGAAGCCAAGCCCTCCTGATCCTAGTTTACAAAACAGAAGCAATAGCCAGCTTTTGAAGACATATGGTGGACGCGAAACAGATAGTTCTGTCCTGAGATAAGCCAGGGTCGGGCCTATTCCCAAGGGCTGTGTTATCTCACACACACACACCCTCTCATAATTTTGTTTCTCACCTCCTCAGGGAGAAGCAAACCTTGGAGTTGGCTGTGGAAAGCCTGACTCGGCAACTTGACTCCTCCCACCTGGAGGGGGAGAAGCTGAAGATTACGAATGGAGAACTGCAGAGACAGCGGAAACTCCTGCAGGAGCAGAAGGAGGATGTGATTAAGGAAAGGGAGAGAACAAGGAAGGAGCTGGAGCGTGGGTGAGGTGCTGCAGCTGTCCCCATAGCTTTCCGATGCACAAGGCAGTCCTGCTCGCTACACCATGCTGGTCATGGACAACACAGTGATATTCTCTTGATGGTCAAGGAGACAGTCTGACCAGGATGAGGCTTCAGTGAACATGAAGCATCCATGCACAGTGGCCAGTCAGACATGTTGTACAAGGCAGAACTAACTAATGCACTAATGGTGCTTTCCTGTGTACATGATGGGAAACTGGCATTTCAAGGGCAGATCAGCAACATAGCCCATAGTAAATCAGAAACCCAAAATTCTGCAGCCAGGGTCTCTTGGGTCTGCCAATAAAACACGCAATATGAATTTGTGTCCAATCAAGTGCATTGCCCACAAAATTTGTTCAGCAAAAATAGTGCTGACTTGTAAAAACGGTGACAAAAAAAACCCACCAGCTGTCAAGGGGGAGGAAGGAATAGGAAATCTGTGAACAGTTGGCAGAGTCAGGGGAGCTGCCCTCCAGTGCAAGAGCAAAGTAGCCAGGAGACTCATTAGAAAACCCAGGCACTTTAGCAGCAGGTATTGCTCAGTTGCCATGATGCACCTTACCTCTACAAAGGTAGTCTATATGGACTCACTACCCAAATGTGTTTAGTGTTATTGTTACTCTTGCAGTCTCATGGATTAAGAAGGTCCCCTATGAAAATATCTGTGGTCTGCAAATAAAATTCATATTCTGTCTTGTTCAGTGCATATGAAAATATGGAGTTTAACTTTTGTTTGTATTAATAATACTTACTAGTTATATAGCATTTCTGAGTTTTCAGAGTGCTTCACGTACATGGTCCTTGCAGCCACCCTTACAGTATTAAGCAGATGGAAAGCTGAGAGAACATTGGCTTTGGCAGAGTTCATGTAGCTCAGTCTCTTACAGTACCATCCTAAGTACAGTTACATTTACACTGACAGACTCAGGGCCAAACTAGAAGCGCAGGTTTTTAAAGAATAGGGTCTAGATGCCCTGGATCTAACTAATGTTCCTTGCAGCCATACAGCAGCTGAAGGGAATGGCTGTTTAAAAAATAAAGGAGAGCCCCTTTGGGCTCATAACGCTGCATGTGGTGTATTCTGGGAGTTTGTTATCGCCCACCAGATCAAAAGATAGAGGAGGATTATAAAATGATGAATGAATTCAAGATAGCAGCTAGACAAAAACATTGTGTCGTAATAGGTGATTTAACTACCCACACTTTGATTGGGTCAATATGTGTTCTAGTCGAGAAAAAGAGATTGAGTTTCTAGACACTCTAAATGACTGTGCTATGGAGCAGATGGTCATGGAACCTACCAGGGGAGAGGCGATCCTTGATTTGGTCCTAAGTAACACTCAAGACCTGGTGAGAGATGTAAAAGTGATTGCACCGCTTGGGAACAGTGATCATAATGTTGTTGAGTTCAACACTTGTATAAATAGGGAATTGGCCAAAAAGACTCACACAACCACTTTTAACTTTAAAAGGGGTAACTTCTCTGATATGAGAGGACATGTGGGTAGGAAACTGAAAGAAAAAGTAAAAAGGGTCCAAACCATTGGGGAAGCTTGGAAACTATTTAAAACTACAATCCTAGAAGCGCAAAAAATATATATTCCGCAGGTTAGGAAAGGCACAAACAGGTATAGGAAAAAGCCTGCATGGTTAACAAACAAAGTAATGAAAGCTGTAAAAGGTAAAAAGGATTCCTTTAAGCAGTGGAAAGCTAGTCACAGTGAGGCTGATAAAATGGAACATAGGCTATGGCAAATAAAATGCAAGTCTGTGGTCAGGCAAGCAAAAAGGGAATATGAGGAGCATATAGCAAAAAACGTAAAAACCAACAATAAAACTTGCTTCAAATACATTAGAAACAGGAAACCAGCCAGGGAGGCAGTGGGGCCCTTGGACGACCAAGGGGTAAAAGGAGTATTGAAGGATGATAGGGAAATGGCTGAGAAGCTAAATGCATTTTTTGCCTCCGTCTTCACTGTGGAAGATGAGAAGTGCTTGCCCACTCCAGAACCACTGATTTCAGGAGGGGTGTTGAAAGACCTGAGTCAGATTGAGGTGACGAGAGAGGAGGTCCTAAAACTGATAGACAACTTAAAAACTGAAAAATCACCAGGCCCAGATGGCATACATCCGAGAGTTCTGAAAGAACTCAATTGTGAACTTGTGGATCTCCTGACAAAAATATGTAATCTTTCCTTAAAATCTGCCTCCATTCCTGAGGATTGGAAGGTAGCTAATGTCACTCCCATCTTTAAAAAGGGTTCCAGAGGAGATCCGGGAAATTACAGGCCAGTCAGTCTGACGTCGATACCGGGTAAATTGGTGGAAACCATTATTAAGGAAAGAATTAGTAGGCACATAGATGAACAAAACCTATTGAGGCAGACTCAGCACGGTTTCTGTAAGGGAAGATCTTGTCTCACTAACCTGTTAGTGTTCTTTGAGGGGGTGAACAAACATGTGGACAAGGGGGATCCAATAGATATTATTTACCTTGACTTCCAGAAAGCTTTTGATAAAGTTCCTCATCAAAGGCTCCTAAGTAAGCTCAAAAATCATGGGATAGAAGGACAAGTCCTTTTATGGATCAAAAACTGGCTAGTTCATAGAAAACAGAGAGTGAGTGTAGGTGGGCAATTTTCTCAGTGGAGGGTGGTAAGCAGTGGGGTACCGCAGGGATCAGTACTTGGTCCACTGCTTTTTAACTTGTTCATTAATGATTTGGAGACCTCATTTGGAATACTGTGTGCAGTTCTGGTCACCACACCTTAAAAAGGATATTATAGCTTTGGAAAAGGTGCAGAAAAGGGCAACTCGAATGATAAAAGGGTTGGAACACTTTCCCTATGAGGAAAGGTTAAAGCGCTTAGGGCTCTTTAGCTTGGAGAAACGACGACTGAGGGGAGACATGATTGAGGTTTATAAGATTATGCATGGGATAGAGCAGGTAGAGAAAGAGGTACTTTTCTCCCTTTCTCACAATACAAGAACACGTGGGCACTCCATGAAATTGCTGAGTGGTTGGGTTAGAACGGATAAAAGGAAGTACTTCTTCACCCAAAGAGTGATTAACACATGGAATTCACTGCCACAGGAAGTGGTGACGGCTACAAGCATGGACGGCTTCAAAAGGGAATTAGATAGGCATATGGAGCAGAGGTCCATCAGTGGCTATTAGCCACAAGGTATAGATAGGGGCTCTGGGGCAAGTGATGCTCTGTCTTCTTGGTGCTAGGGGGGGGTCAACAGTGGGAGGGCTTCTAATGTCCTTGCCCCACTGGTGGACCTCCTGATGGCACTGGTATTTCTGGCCACTGTGTGACACAGAATGTTGGACTGGATGGGCCTTTGGCCTGATCCAACATTGGCATCTCTTATGTTCTGTGCACGGACCCAACTCTTTAAAATCTCACACATTTAGTTTGGTCCTTAGAAGAGTGTGACACTGTATAGGATGGCACTGTTATCCTCTCTGCCCTGCTGCAATAGTGGGAGGGTTGTGGCTCACTGGTAGAGCATCTGCTTGGCATGCAGAAGGTCCTAGGTTCAATCCCTGGCATCTCCAGTTACAAGGATCTGGCAGCAGTTGATGTGAAAGACCACTTCCTGAGACCATGGAGAACCTTTGCTAGTCTGAGTCGACAATACTGACCGTGATGGACCAATGGTCTGATTCAGTATAAGGCAGCTTCATGTGTATGTGTGTTCCAGAATAGAACTTTCCTTTGTTATCTACTCCGGTTTTCTGAAAAGTAGTCTTAAAATTAGATCTAGTTCCTTTTTTTGTAAACAAAAAATGCTAAGTTAGTTGTAGTAGTGGGGAAAAACTGAGCGTGAAGTACATTAATTGTTTGTATTCACAAAAAGTTGTGAAGACCATCTAAATCAGAAATGTGCTCAATATAATGTGCCCTGGTTAAATAAGGTGTAAGAAGGTGCTAGACTTGGTTTTCATTCTCAGGCAAAGGTCCCTGGAATGGCTTGAAGAAAAGATGTCAACCCTGAAGAAGGAGCTGGTGACCATCAAGGAGTCTTTGAACCAGGCCATGTTGGAGAAGGATGTGCTAGAGAGTGCTAAGGAAGGCTTGAGTGGAGCACTTTCAAAAGTAAGGATGGTAATGGGAGCAATCCTCTTGCCAAAGGGCTCTGCACTCCTTTCTGTTGTCCTGCAGGCGGTCTGTTTAGAACTAATCTTGCATCTGTCCCCTACTCTACAGTATCCATTTGCTTGAAGTAGGAGGCAACAGGCTGCCTTATTCAGCAGAGCTTTTAATGGAATGTAGGTTGCAGGGTATTTTATTAGATGTTAATAGGTTTTATTAAGTTGAAGGGGAATTTGGGGTTTATTGTTGTTTGATGTTTTCATTATATAATGTAATCCACCTTGAGCCATAGGGACAGGGTAGATATAAATGTTTTAACAGATAAATAAAATGTATACAATAATGGTTTTCCTGGTAAATTAATCTCTATAGTAATTTTGAAGTTATAAATGAATTTTATGTGACATACTGGTGCTTGGTCTGACTCATAACATTATTTGCCCATGCCAGTGATGGGACATAATATCACATTCCGATCCATGGGGGGTGGGGGGGACCCACGTGAAAGCATTAAGAATCAAGTGCAGAAATGGGAAGAGATCAGAACTAAGGGATTATAAAAGACTGAAACTGGGCCTATGCAAGGTGGAGGAAAGCAAGCATCCTAAGCAGAGACATAATGGAGGGCAGAAGAGAAATGCTGTGGTTTATGTTGCATTCCTAGATAATGGGATCAGATGGGAGCCAGGATAAAACTCCTGAGAGCAACCATTTATTCTAGCACTCTAATTATTACACTACATCAGTTCTGTTTTTGAAATCCCGACAGGAAGCCATATATACATCCCTAGACCATTACTGGGTAAGCAATTGTTTGCCTGTAATAGCACAAGATAAGTCACAGAAAAAGTGACATTATTGGCAAAGGGCAGGGGTCTTGTTGTAGAAAAAGAGCTGCCGGAGCTCATTAGCATAACTCATTAGCATAACTTATTTGCATATGCCACGCCCCCTGACATCACCGGAAGTGACAGAAGGCCACACCCCCCTGACATCACCGGAAGTGTGTCAGAAGGCCCAGCTACTTACCCTCCTGCTTCATCCTCATTCCCAAACGGAATGAGGATCGAAGCAGAGGGCGGGGTAAAGAAGGGGGCGGGGCTTCACCACGTGACCGCCCCGCCCCCTAGAGGTTCTCTTCCGGAGCTCTGTACCTGAGAGCTCCCCCCCGACTAGAGCCCTGGCAAAGGGTGTTTTCCACCTCTGTTGTAAGGAAGTAAGGACTGTGACTGGCTTTCCAATATTGGCTTAGGCCAGGCTCAGACAAGGTTTTTTTTGTACTAACTCAGTTCTAGACTTACAGGGCCCCGCAGAAACTCATTGCTGGTTAAATACTCTTGGGGGGGGGGGAATCCTCAGCAGAGGACTACAACAACTAGCTTTACTGCAAAAAACTATGCCAGACTGAATGGCAGAATGCCCTTCTACTCTGGAAAACATCACTAAATGTTTGCTTTCTGTGCTGTTCCCCCTGTTTGTGGGGTGGGGACAGGGAGATCCTGATACTCAGTGCTGAGCATCAATTTCAGCTCTGGCTATAAACCGAGAGACATAGCCAGAAGGTCAGAGTAATAGTGTCTGAGACAGCTTGACACTTTAGAAGTCTCTGAATTTCTTTCCCAACAGCTTTCAGCCCTGATGTATAAATATCAGGAGGAAAAAGAAACTATGGGTGAGGTACCATCACTTGCTATAACATCATCAGAGTTTGATATTTCCAAACAGTAAACTGTGTGCTAAGTTAATCTCTTTTCTTGGAAATAACATGCCCACGAAGGCCATGATCCAATGGGGTGTTTGGGAAGGTCCTGAATGAGTAAGTATTTTGGTAAAACATTCCTCTGAAAACTGCACAAGTGCTCAGATTGGCTCTGCTGAAGTGAGTAGCAGATCTCTTTGCCATCCACACTTTGGCCAGGATGAAAACGCCAAGGAGCCGTATTTTCCTCACAGAATGTTGCCTGCCTGATACTAATGAATTTATCTCTTTTAAAAATGGGTTGTTGTTTTTTTTACATTTGCCTATTATGTTCACATCTGCAAACATGAATGCTCTCTTCCCTTCTTTGCTTCTAATTAAATGTGGGGAGTGGCCTGGGACTGAGTTGAGTGGAATGAGGAAATAACTTTGTTAGTTTGTTTTTTTAAAATCTATTATTTAAATCCCAGCCTTGGGTAATTTATATGTGCAGTACAACTGCAGAGCTTTTATTTATTTATTTGTGTTTAAAAATTCTTACCTCATCTTTCCACTATAAAAACCCTCAAAGCGGCTAGCAAAGCCAATACAACAATGTCAAATACCAGAAACAATGAAATATATGAAAACATCCCGAGAGTTGGGAAAAAAAAGATAAACACGTCCTGACAAATTTGTTAGCAGCAGCTAGAATCGTATTAGCCAGTTACTGGAAAAGAGATGAAATTCCGGATAGACTAGATTTTATAAACAAAGCAATTGAGGTGATAGAAATGGACAATCTAACACAAAAACTCCACGGAAGGAAAAACTCTGTATTTTCAGCTATGTGGTCAAATGTTTATGATTGGATCGATAAGAATGTATAAGAACATACAAGATAATTTGATTGTAATCATAATTGATATATATAGATTTTTGTTAAGCTTTAAGGATCATTTTAATGTGCAATATGGTGGGTTTATGGGGATCACGGGTGTTGGATGTACCACTACTTATACTTTAATAAAAAACTAACAATAAAAAAAAAGAAATATATGAAAACATAACAAAAAAAAGTACAGAAACCAATAGTACAGAGCTTTAAAAGCAGCCACAACCAATAAAAACTAAGTGTTGTTAAGAGATCAGGCCAACAGAATGGACTTAGCCTAGCAGAGCATAAAAGGGCTTAGGGTCCTTAGAAATAGTTCCAGAAAACCTATGACCATCTGAATAATCTAAGTGCGAAGTCTGATCCCTCTGCTTCAGTGTGGGCATGTCCCCCTTCTTCCCACTTCAGGTTGAAGCCACCAATGCTGAGCTTCAGCTCTCCATCCACAAGATGAAATCAGAGGATGCTGAACTGAGAGACTCGCTGGCCAAGATGGGAGCTCTGAATGAAGGGTTGGCTCAGGACAAAGTCGACCTCAATCGCATAATCCTGCAGGTAACCAGACACTAGGATGGTTTGCTAGAGCGGAGCTCAGTGTATACAGCCAACAAACTTAGGCAGTCTTGTAAACTGAGATGGACCAGGCATGGCAAAATAACCACCTCAACCAGTGGATTTCGAGCACCTTGAAATGTCACAGAGTAGAAGATGCAGGCCTGACACAAGGGCACAATCGCCTTAAAGACTGCATATTGCAGAGAAGTTGATACAGCTGATGTTGTTCAAAACTGCCATTTTAAATTGTTCCTGGAAGGCAATATGTAGCCAGTACTAATTCTGGATTATTGCTGTAATGTTCTTTCTCTGACTCAGCCTCATCACCGAATGACCAGAACTGAAAACTAAATGTGGTTCTCCTGAGTCCTAATCTAGTCTTCTCTAGACCTATGATAGCCATGCATTGCAAGCATATGCCCTGGATTCTGGGTCTCCTGCCAGCTGCTGAGTGTCCACTGCTGAGAGCAAACAGAGCTCTCATCAGTAGTTTCCCTGGCTGCCAAATCACACATTTTCTTTGAGCCTCTTTACACCCATGATGTGCCAGAAAGCTTTCAGCTTCACGAGCACCATCCCTGCAGGGCTCGTAACTGCCAAGAGCTTGTAACTTGCAGTGAGGCCTGAAATGGGGGGGACCCGCAATGCTCACACACTCCACGGCTTATGCCAACAGCATTTATAACTTCCGGAAGGCTTCAAGCTTGGTCTTGCTGCCTAATGGAACCTTGTAACCTGCCTGTATAGTACAGGGGAAAATCTACTCAGACCCTGCTGACATGTTCTTCAGGACTGGGGTCTCAACAAAGCAGCTGCCAGGTGATGAAATGCAAGTGGAGGGGGCTCTCTTCTGCAACCTCTATTTTATACAAGGAAAATAAGCCAAAGGAACTCTGAAGCTCAGAATTATATATAATCTCAGCCATGGGTGAGATTGGCTATTACAAACTGAGATGATTCAAGGGGGTCTACCTAGCTACATAGCTCCACTGGATATCAGTATGTTGGCAAAACCAGGCACTTTACTCTAGCAGGGGGAGGCAGAATGAAAACTGGAGGAAAGACATCAGAAACTTCTTTTGCATGACTTGGGCATTTTCTCACACAAGTTTTAAACTGACTAAATCATGTTTTTAATGTGAATGCAAAGCCTGCACTGTCCAAAATGCTCATTTGAACAACAAATGCCTCTCTTCCATTTTCCATTCTGTGCTAACAACAATTGTGCAATACAATATGCCACAAGAGAGAGGGGGGGCACATGGAGGCAAATCTCATACATTTAAGTTCTGTGTTGCTGTATGCTCAGCAGCGATCCACCAACCATCCCCTTCAGGTGGCAGAACTCCAGGGTTTCTCTGCCTTCCATATTCCCATACCATCCTACCCTTCTAGACCTTGTAAGCACAACTGTTGCTCGCTTGCCTTGTAGCTTGAAGAGGAGAAGAGCAGACTGCTGAGCAGGAAGCGGGAACTAGAACAAGAACAAGGTGGTTGGCGTGACCAGCTGGTCCACTTAGAGCAGGAGCTGCTGCACACAAGGGCAGAGAAGCAAAGTCTGGAGCACAGCTTCCAGGCCTCAGAAGAGAAGCAGGAGAGACTGGATGAGGAGATATCCTTGTTGCGCAGGGAGAGAATCCAGCTGCAGGACCAAATAATGCAGGTAGGGGAAAGACATCAGAAGAGGGCACAAGCCTTCCTTTTTCACAAAATACCATTAAGGATACATCTAAGAAAAAATAATTGGTTTGGATCTCATGTCCTTCTGTTTTAGCACTCAGCCTCCATCTGGATGCCTCTGGAAGCTGATGCTAGAAAAATAAAATTCCACATTCTGCAACCAGGAAAACCTGCGATTTGGAATGAAATATACAAACTTGATTTTGCTTTCTTCCTAGTTGGGGGGGGGAGCGGGAAGCGGGTGTGCATAACTTAACTTGGAATAATTTTTCCAAATTTTTGCTTAGATCTTGGCAAAGCAGGTTTGACCACATTTACAGTGCAATCCTATGCAGAGTTACACCCTCCTAAACCCACTGAGTTCAGTGGACTTAGAAGGGTGTAACTCTGTTTAAGATTGCACTGTTAAACTTGGGCTAAGATGTATAAGTAATATGGACCATGGGGAACGCTGTGACAAGGAACTTTCAAGTTTCAAGTTCAAGTTTCAACCATAGAAAGCACAACTTGGATTCTGTTTGGTTTCTAAATCTTTAGCAGAAACTGTCCCAAGTATTTTTGAGGGGTAATCATGAAGGTTAGAAACTTTCTTTTTTTTAAAAAAATGAGATTTCTGGGAAAGATACCTAAAGCTATATTAGAGGACTAATAGTGCCATCCTAAGTGGAGTTGTACCCTTCTAAGGACACTGAAGTCAGTGAGCTTAGAAGGGTGTAGTTCTGCATAGGATGGAACCGCTGCACTACCATTTGTCCATGTAAATCTGCTGAACAGAATAGGACTAAAAGCTCACGTTTGGGAGGGTTAGGGTTTTAAGGATTCTTGGTGTTTTAGGAATGCAACTAGGAAATGCTGAAGCCTCTGCACTGAGTGCAATACAGCCAGTGTGGACAGAGCACAGTTATGTACAACAGGATTTGTAATGTAATAATATAACATATCTCTCATACTTATTGGCTATGTAAGTTTTATTCACAGTATAGGTTTTCATGTGTGAATAAAACGTTGTTGGTGTTAAAGATGCCACTGGACTCAAACTTTGTTCTGCTAGTCCAGACCAACACGGCTACCCCACCTAACTGGCTATTTGTGATTTTTGATGCTGAAAACAAAGTTTGGACTCCTGTATCTCCATGAAGGGTAGTGACTTATCCCAAACCTCCTATTAGCCACAGAACGATATGGGTCATACCACTGAATCATCTAATCCCGGTTTGGTTTACTGTGACTGAAAGCACCTCTTCAACATTTCAGGCAGAGGCCTTTTTCAGTCCAGCTACCTGATATCATTTCACGCTGGATACCCAGAGCTTTTATGCAACATGTATGTCTTATAACTGAGCTCTCCACATGTATTTTGCTATGAGGATCCACAACTGATATACTCCCATTATTTGGGCTTTGTTTGTTGATTGTGTAAAGATTATTCAGCTCTAAATACCTGATTCAGCTCTGAGATGGGGGCACAGTTCGCCCACACTTGTGTCTTCAACATGAAGAGTTTATAGTGTTGTATAGCCATAATCAGGATCATTGGTTCCTGCCCTTGCCTCTGTTCCCACTGTTTTTCTCTGCTTTGTACCAGCTGAGCAGCCAGAAACAAACTCTTGGTGAGCAACTGGCGCACAGCCACCGAGAGATGGAAGTGCAAGCAGACTCCTTGTTCAGCGCCCTACAGGAAAAAGAAAAAATGGCTAAAGAGAAGGCACAACTTACTGTGGAGCTCACTGCACTGGAGAGACACAGGAAATTGCTAACAGAAGAGGCAGATACTCTTAGGTACTCTTCACCTGCTAGGATGAAGGCACTTGGAGTAACAGGTGGTCTCCTGCATATTTGACTGTGAATTAAATTGAGGGTATCATACGTTGAATGTGGTGATCTGAGAAGATGTCTTTACTGGACGTGCCTTTCCTCTTCCGTGCTTTAATGCAAGAGCTTGTAAATAAGTGACAAAACTAGAAAGATCCAGGAGACTTCACAAAAAAAGGAAAGGAAAGGTTCAACCCTTGTGCAGTCGTTCAATTTTTTTTTAGGACCCACTTGTTGATTTTTAACATGTAACCCAGCACAGAAGCCCACTTGGCCTTTGGTTCTCTCTGTGTTGCCATTTTTAATAGCTGCTTGGGACATACTTTCAGCAAGGTATCTAGTAATTTCATATTGCAGAGTTTCAGTAGATCTTTCATTGAACTCCAGGTCTACAGAGATCTTCCATTTGGGGCATGTACAGTGATTGAAAAACAAAAATGGAGCCACATGGTGCACCATGTCCTCTAGCAGGCCTTTTTGCATAAGCGCAGTGTATGATGTGGTAAAAATGCTATGCAGTTCATAGGCAGCTCAGCCTAGAGGCTGCACTCAGACATTGCATATTAAGAGTTTGTTCATAATTAACATGAATGTAGTTAAGAATGTAGTGGCTCAAGTGGTTAAGACACTGAACTGCAGGCTGTGGAAGGTCGGTAGTTCAGCAGTTCGAGACCAAGTGTGCCGCATGACGGAGTGAGCTCCCATCTCTAGTTCCAGCTCCTGCCAACCTAGCAGTTCGAAAGCAAGAAATTGCAAGTAGATAAATAGGTACCACTTCGGTGAGAAGGTAACAGCGTTCTGTGCGCCTTGGTGTTTAGTCATGCCAGCCACATGACCACGGAAATGTCTTCGGACAGCGCTGGCTCTTCGGCTTTGAAACGCAGATGAGCACTGCAACCCTAGAGTTGGATTCGACTGGCTTTCGAGCAGGGGAACCTTTACCTTTACCTTAGTTAACGGTTACACTGATGCGCTTCCTCTCTCCTCTCCTTTTGGGTGGCATAAAAAGACTGAAGAGATAAATTTGAGCTTTCTTTCTTTCTCAGTCACCAGGATTCTTAACTGCAATTTAATCCTGGTTAAGAATCCCAATTACTAGGAAAGAAAAAACTCCAAATTGCTCAAGTGCCAGCATTTAGATGCCACAACAAACTGAAGTTAGTTGAAAACTTCAGTCTTCATTCTCCAGTGCAGCACTTGAGAAGAAGAGCGAGAGAGAGAGGGGAGTGCAGAAGCTCAGCAAATAGCCAGGTTTGTGTGTATCTTGAAGGTGCTCGTTTGTTCATTACGAGTAAATTAGCCAGTGTCTTGGTTTCTGTGTCTTCATTTTAACTGAAGATTGTTTCCCCTTTTCCTCTTTTGGCCTATCCAGATGGCCACTTCCTGTACTAGTATTTCAGTACTTTTTGTTGGCAGAATTCAGAAATAATCCAATCCACTCTTTGGAGTTCACTTTCACTGAATTTATTGTAACAGGATTTTGCAGAAAGACAATAACTGATTACAGGCCATTAATACAACAGAAAGTCCTACAGAGCACAAGCACTAACTAGGGTTGCAAGACCGTTGGTCGGAGCAGGGGTTCCCCCGATTTTAGAGGCTCCTTCCCATTGCCAGCCACCTGGCCAGCGGGGGAAGCTCTTCCCAAAGCCCCACCCCCAAGAGTGACCACCTTCGGCCACCCTTACTGCAAGATTTAAAGGTACCTCCAGCTGACCAGTGGGAGCACGTGACTTGGAGTGCAGGCGTGTGTGGCCCTCCTACTTCTTCCTAAAAGCATTTAGAGGGGCCCTTTAAATGCTTTTGGGAAGAAGCGGGGACCACTCACCTCCCCCCACTTCTTTCAAAAAGCATGATGTCATCGAGTTTGGCACAGCCCCGCCCCCTCCAGCAATACCCCCCAAAGTCCCCCGCCGAGGACTTGAAAGGACCTTGCAACTCTACCACTACTACATAGCAGAGAGAGAGAATACAAGAGGTAGGCTGAACTACAAGAGAAAAACATTAAATAAACCCTAAACACTAGAGAATGCTTCACAGCTCCCCCTAGGGTACAAGTGAACTAAACTCTTTCAGTAGTATTTACAGTAACTAGTCTCTTAGCAGGTTGTCCCTTTTCCAACACTTTTGAGCTAGACTAGACTGGAAAATTAGCCAAGAGCATACCTTCAAAGATGCACCTTTCCGGACAAGTTAATTGTACAATTCCTGTCCTACAAAGTCCCTGAGCCCATGTTAGACTTGCATTCACTACCAACCCATACTGTGGATGGGGAAGGATAAGCAGCGGCTTAGTGGTAAATGGGCTCACCAGTGAAATGAGTCCCTATTCAAAATCACCCCTAGAACCAGGGGAATAAAAGCTTAGTTGATAAGCCTGGATTATTTGCTGATGTGCTTTAGAGTGGAGAAGGAATCCTTGGAAACCAGCCTTTTTGAGGCACAAGAGCTCGTAGCTCAGCTGGAGGCCCGCAAGGAACAACTAGAAGGAGAGAAACAGGGGACTGAACTTACCAAGCAGACTCTCCAAGGTACAGTATGTACGGTATTGAGTCCAAATAAAAATTTTTTGTAGGCTTGACTTCTGCTTGAATAGCTACATTGCATAGGAAGAGAATCTCCCACCCAAATCATAAATAAACAATTTAGAATAAGGTACATTGTAAGTGCCTTGACCTGGATAGCCCAAGCTAACCCAATCATGGAAGCTAAGCAGAGTCAGTCCTGGTCTGTATTTGGATGAGAGACCACCAAGGAAAGCAGGATGCCTGTACATTGGCAGGCATTGACAAACTGCCTCTGAACTTTTCTTGCCTTAAAAATCTTATAGAGTTACCATGTCAGCTATGACTTGATGGCAAAACAAAAAAAAATGTATATGCCAAACTAACCAAAATCATGGTAAAGTGCAAGAAATCAGCTTACTGAATCCCCACCAATTAACTCAGAAACACAGCACATTTAAAACTGCTGTTTTTCAATTTTTCAGACTTCAGAAACTTGATATGCTTGCATTTAGAATTGCCTTTCTGTTTTTCACACATAAACATTAATAGCAGGAGGAGGACTGCAAACTGTGTTTTAGCATGTGTGAATTTAGCCTACATGTGTTTTTAGAGGGGGTTGCACCTTTGAGCTGGCTGTGATAAGCATGCATTAACACCATCTTACAACAAAGTCAACACAGTGAGAGGTGACCAAATTGTAGTTGTTTGCATGATTTTGTTGAAAATATTTTTACCCCACCTTTCTTCATTTTGTTAACATGCCTTATCGCATACTTACATATCAACCATATATGCAAAACCAGCTTGAATAAAAACACATGAAAACACAAATACCATGGGTTGGATCCAGCCAGCCTTTTCATTAAACTTTGCCAACTTATCATCCTCACTATATTGTTTGTTTGTTTAGTATATTTATATTCTGCTTTTCTCCCAAGTGGGGACCCAAAGCAGCTAACAATGTGCAGAGAAAAATACAACAGAACAAACAAGAAAGGGAGGGGAGGCTTCCGATTGCCAAGCAGGTCTTCTCTCTGACTTTTCCGCACAAACGGGTCTCCTCGCTCCACCAGTTTTTTTTTCATTTCTGCAGAGGTATTTGCAGTCCGAGGAGCAAAAACACAGTTTGCTCCATCTTGTAGCACAGCAAGGAAATTCCCGGAAACAGGGAAGTCTGATGCTGTGCCACAAGAGAGGACAAATTGCATTTCTGCACCTCAGACTGCAAATACTTCTGCGGAAACGAGTGAAAGAGGCAGAGGAATACAAATGCAGGAGTGGGGAGACCTTGCCAAGCAGGTCTTCTCCCTCTGCTACCTGACCTTCTGCCCAGCTCTAGGCTCCAACCCTCAGAATAAGAGAAGACAGGAGCCACTCAACTTCTGCCTCTGGGCACACTCAGGCCTTAAATGTCTATGTACAAAGAGAAGAGTAAGTTTGTGAGATGTTACTTAGCTGCTGTTACCTAGAAAGTTCTTCCCCAGTTCCTCCCCTGCCCAAAGGTGGGATAGTCTTCTGTAGCCCCCCCTCCCTCATGGCTTTTGTTCATGCAGATCCCATCAGCACCAGCATATAGCCTTTTCTCGTGGTCAAAGGGGACCCCTCCTTTCTTTTTCACCAACAGAAAAGCTGGTTGGATCCAACCCCATGTTTTGAAATCTTTTCCTGCTTCCTTTATTTAAAGATGACAGTCATTAAACTGAAACACCAATAGTCATGCTAGAACCACTCCTTCCCTGTATCGAACTTGGTATTACTGAAACTGTTTTGCCACCGGTTGTATTAGAAAGCACACAAAGATGATATGTCCAGAATGAAGCCTTGTATTCTTTCCCAGTGGAATTGGGGAAAGCTCGGCATGAGCTTGAGCTCCAGGAAACCACGCTGAAAAGAGAAAGAGAGATGTTGAAACACCAGCTAACTGAGGTGGAACAAGAGTGCCAGCTGGCCATAAAGAACCAAAAGCTGACTTTTGAAAAGGACCTTGGGTGCCTCAGAAAAGAGAAGGTAAGAGCTGCTGGCCTTCAACCCTATGCAAACCATAATGCTAGAACAGGACACATTGGCAGTTATACCCAGGAGACATTCCAGATACAAAGTGCATAGACATTGCCTCAGCTACAGAGCGCACCTATTTGTACAACTATAGATATTCCCTTAAAATACACATTAATATGGGCTTGGTTCTATCCTAGTATAATTTTTTAAATTCCTTTTTACAAATTCTAGGCTGTACTCTCAGCGAGAGGCTCCTGTGGCAGCTTACATAAAAGATTTAAAAACTGTAGTATATTGGCCTTCCTAGCTTGAGTAGCAGGCCTTTTCTGCCAACTGAGGAAAGCCACACAGCCTCCTAGGATTTTGGGGGACTAGGTTTGTTTTAAACTGTGAACCTTCCCCTCAGTTATCAGATGTTCTTCAGGTAGCAAGTGTAAAGACATTGGGTTCTCTGCTGTAAGGTAAGCTTTGTGGTGAGCAAGTAGAACCTGGTGATTGCTGAAGCAGGAGTTGTATATAAATAACAAACATTTATTTATTTACAGGTTGGTTTCAAGAAACAAATCAGCAGCACAGGTCTCCAGATAGTCATAGAGGAAACCTGGCTGAGGAACATAAATTTAAGCTTGTTATGGCTCTGGAGCGTGGCTTGAATTTTCCTTAATGCTTTTGGCACAAAGAGGCTTTTACTGACTAGTCACTAGGTTGGATCCTCTCACACAAGATTCCACCCACACCAGCCTACCCTTTCCCAAGAATCAGACTAAATGGTACAAGGCCTGCACTCAACACCAGAGACAGGCCTAACAACTGGGTACTTTGTTCTCTCTCAGAGGTAGAGCTAACCATTCTGCCATCAGGCAGAGCTACCCTTCACTCTGTCTACTCTTTTCCTGAGCCAAACCTGAGCTCTCACTGCTCTCTCCCTGTGGCAGACCCAGGCCCAAAAGGTGGGGGGAGTCGGGGTCTGCTGGTTGGGAGGGAAACGGCGGAGCGAGCAAGCGAGAGTGGGCGTGGAAGGAGCACCTGCCTGGCACCGGCACAGCCAGATCCGCCTCCAGCCCTGGGTGGGGGAAGCCAGCCAGCCTCTTAAGGAATGGCTGTTTAGCCACAATGGTTAAGTCAGAACCTCCTCAGAGAATCGTAGAATCACAGAGTTGAAAGAGGCCATACAGGCCATCTAGTCCAACCCCCTGCTCAGTGCAGGATCAGCCTAGAGTATCCCTGACAAATGTTTGTCCAGACACCATTTAAAGACTGCCAGTGAGGGGGAGCTCACCACCTCCCTAGGCAGCTGATTCCACTGATACACAGCTCTTACTGTAAAAAAGGTTTTCCTAAGATCCAGCCGGTACAACTACTCTCTGAGTGCGGTTCTCCAACCAGTTCCCTATCCACCTAACTATCCTAGAGTCCAGTCCACAGTCATTTAGTTTACCCATCAGAACATCATGGGGAACCCTGTCAAAAGCTTTACTAAAATCCGGGTTAAAAACATCAGCAGCATTCCCTCGATTCAGTAAGCTTGTCACTCGATCAAAGAAGGAAATGAGGCTGGTTTGGCAAGACCTGTTGGGGACAAATCTGTGCTCACTTCCCCGGATCACCAAGTTGTTCTTTAGATGCTCGCAGATCGATCCCTTTAAAATCTGCTCCAGTATCTTCCCTGGGACAGAGGTCAGACTGACTGGCCTGCAGTTTCCTGAGTCATCCCTCCTCCCTTTTTTGAAAATTGGGATAACATCTGACCTCCTTCAGTCTTGTGACACGTCTCCCATCCTCCAAGAGATCTGGAAGATAATGGACAAAGGCTCGGCAAGCTCTCTAGAAAGGTCTTTGAGCACTCTTGGGTTCATAACATCTGGCCCTGGGGATTTGTACTCATTCAGTGCAGCCAGAGGCTTCTCAACTACCTCTCTGTCCATGTCAACCAACAGCCTAGATGCTGTGACTCGCCTACTACCATCTCTGGAAGAGTCAGTTCTCTCATGCAAGGGCAGACTGCCTCTAAATGCCAAGGTGCTGGAAAGACAAGCCATAGGTCTGTTTGTGGGCTGCCCTGCAGTGACTGCTTAGAGGAGAGCCCTCAAGCCTCCTCCCCAGATCTTCAATGCAGCCAGCATCCCGCAGCCTCCTTCTCTCTCTCTGGCCTCCCCCTTGCCTGTTTCCAGCCACCCAGCTCTCCCTTCCCTCCATAGGGTGGGATTGGGAGGCCACATGAACCCACTTGGCTCCCTCACTCCTCTTGGCCAGCAGCTTCTGTCTGTTGCTCTCCCACTTGGAGCCTGTGACTTCCCCCTGGCCGTCCGCACCTGGCATGCCAGCGCCCGGGCAGGGGCAAGCAGCCTCCCCCTCCCCTGTGTGGTTCCTCTGCTCCCCCCTCACCTTTTCCCCATTCACTGGACCTCCAGCATGGATTACAGGCCAGCAGGGAAAGGCACAGGCACTGATGCCCTTGCATAGGGGAACTGCCCAGGAGCTGAGCTCCACCACTGCTTTGGAGGGCATTGCTGGTGATACTGTGAATAATTTTGTCCCCTCCCCCCCTTATTTATTTTTCAAATTTATAGTCCACCCTCCCCACAAACAAGCTCAGGGCGGATCACAGGAATAGTTAGGCTATTCAGCAACACAAATATAATAATAAATAGATAATTAAAACACTAAAACAGCATTTAAAAACCATCTGCACTAATACTGGTGCCACTGGACTCTGAGTTTGTTCAACCCGGGCCGCGTGGCGGTGGCTCCTTCAGCAGGGGAGGCCAAACTATTTTCACTGGATGCCCGCCACCTCAACCAAAGGCCTGGAGGAACAGCTCCGTTTTAGATGGACTGAGGATTTTTTTTAGCTGCCCCCTCTTTGCCTCCCCTCCCCACACACAAAAAAATTTCTGGCTACGGGGCTGGGCAGACCTGAACTCCCCCTCAGCTGTGCTTCCCTCTGACATTCCATCCCCCCCCCTGGTGAAAGGTGATTGGATGCTGGGGCAGCACTCCCATAGGCTCAGCTGAGTGGCTGTTTTTCGCTTCAGGAGCAGGAAAGCCTCCTGTCCATCACAACTGCTATTCTAAGAAGTGTTCTATAAATGTGGTTTTATGTTCCATTTTCATGTGGCTCTTGCCAGTGGATGGCTCAGTTCAAGGTTTCCTCTTGATGTACCTTTGTGGCTACAGTAAAGTTACCTTTTTTTTTAATACCTTCTGTGTGACTTCATTATATCTAACAATATAGTAGTAGTGGCAGTAATAATTAATAATAACCCTGTGGTGTGGTGCCCAGAGTGTTAGACTAGGGAGACCTGGGTTCAAATCCATGTTTATCTATGAAGTTTACTGGATAATCTAGGCGAGTCACTTCTTTCAGCCTAAACTGTCACACAGGATTTCTTGACCCCAATGCATGTTGCCTTGAGGACCTCGGAGGAAGAGTGGGATAAAATCTAAGGTATAACAATACTTAGCATCTGTGAAGTGCACATTTTGTGTGTTACATAGCTGTGGTCAGCACATAAAGATGTCCTTTGTATATGTGTTCATTGCTTAGAAATTTGGTTTCTGAATATAGAACATATAGCGCAAAGTGGAACTGTACAGTTCGAACATTTGCTTTCTCTTCATCATGGCTACTCCAGAGTGCTCTGTAGCTCTTCTCAGCCAAATACAGGAGTCCGAAATTGCCAGGGAAATCTTGCTTATATTGTCTAACAGCTTACTTGGTAATGTCCTGCTTCACTGTCCCCAGGAGACCCTGCGTCAAGCACTGACTGAGGAAAAGGATGAGATTGTGCATCAGCTTCAGCAGGAGAAGGAAGAACTAGTGTCCAGAAATGAAGCCGAGAAGAGGGAGCTCATGGAGGAAATCCTTACTTTGCAGCAGAACCAGGAAGAAAGCCTCCTCTCGTTAGAGAATGAAAAACAGAAGGTGAGGAGAAAGGCATGAAGGGACACTAGCAGGAAGGAAGCTTCCTACTTTACTGCTGTTTCCTCCCAGGTTGTTTGGGGGTTTTGAGTTTTTTTACAGTGGGCATCTGTTAGGTCATTCCTGAACAATATAGATCAGGCCTGTACAACCTGTGACCCACCAATCCAAGTGCAACTCACCAGACTTATATAGTAGCCCAAATAAAAACCCAGAATACTCTGTCACGCTGTACAAATCACACTTGCGACTACTGTCTTCTTATACAGTTCTACTTACAACCATAAATGATACATATAATAAATGGTTTTGCATAAATGACATCTGCACCAGTTGAATAGTGACCTAATAATCCTTGAAAGTACAAGTCTCTCTTCAGAATGATGCATTCACTGGCTCATGGTGCAGAGAAGAGTTTTTTTAAAAAAAACACACGCAGTAGATGGCATATATAGTAGCCCAGCAGGGACTCTTGGTTTTGCCACAGCCTGTACAAACTGACCCAGCTGTGTGAATCTAGCAGGCGACATATGGTTGCTGTGCTGCATTCAATGGGTGATTTACAAACTGTGCAGGCCTGCTTTAATGAGGTTGCTGAAATTCATAGTTACCTGCTTTAATGAGGTTGCTGAAATTCATAGTTACCTGCTTTGTAATGCAAACTTGCCTAGTTCGTTATGCTTGGAGGTATCATAAATGAAATAGTATTCTCCTGAGAAGTTTTTTCTACAGCTCAGAATGTAAAACAAGCTTCTGCACATGTGAAGGATGTGCTTTCACTTTAAGCACAAACATGTTCTTTAATAATTTTTGAGGTGCCAGCCAGGTACCGGTGGGGACACCCAGGGAGCTCCAGAGCACTGGGGGAAAGAATCTGTGTAATCTCTATTTGACGTAGCTCCAGGAAGCTTCCCAACCCAGCTAGCCTGTAGCTCTGCAGAGGCTTGCCTGATTTCGCACTAGAGCTGCCTCGCTGTTGCGCCGCCATTTGCCCCAGTTCTATTGGTCAATTTCACAGGCGAAGCCGTGGGGCTGATTTTGCCCGATTTCCCCCACAGTTTCGTGATCAGCCGCGCGGCTTCGGCTGTGAAATTGACCTATAGAAACCGGGGCAAATGGCGGCGCAACAGCGAGGCAGCTCTAGTGCGAAATCAGGCAAGGCTTCTTACTTTTTCTGCTATTTCCTCCAACAGTTTTTTTGTCTTAACCTTTTTAACTTATGGTGGAGGAGGAATTCCTCCCACGGCCTCAGTATTAAACGCAAATTAATTGATTTGCCTAAATATGTGTTTGAACTAAATAAATTGTTTCCTTCTGAACCTTTCAGATGTATGTAAATGTAATCTCTAGGGAACCCCCCCCCCCCTTTACATGTGGTCTGCCTTTTCCCTGTGTCCAGGCTCTGTCCCAGAAGGAAGTAGAGAAGAATCTTCTTTTGGAAAAGCTGAGTGATGCTCAGCGGGAACTCACGGCTGCCAGGGCAGAAACTGACAGGGTGCTGCTGGAAGCTCGGAATCGGCATGAGCAGAATAAGGTGAGCATAATTCTTGACTATATTTTCATGTTCAGGGAAGGAGGAGTGCAGTGGCAGAATAGGCAAAAGGACTGGGAAGTCCAGGCCTATGTGGTTTAAACTGGACAAAAAGTTGTTCTCATATTCATTACAAGTGCAGCAAAGAAAGGGGGGGGAGTCATTTATATCCTTTGCACCGTGCTTAGACAACTTCCCTGCGGTGGAAGGCTGCCAGGTTCAGTCCTTGAGAAGTTTTAGAAACCTGATGAAAGCTTTTGTTTTGTTGTGCCAGGCATGGGGAAAGGAGTTGGTGTTCATTCTTGCTGCTTAACTGTACTGTCGGTTTTATGCTGTGTTTTTTTTACTATTCGATAATGTGTTGATTTTCATGGAAATCTGAAAGGCTATAACCTGCCTTGAGTGCTTGCTTTAGAAAGGAAGTCAGAACATAGATTTTAAAATAAAAACTTGCTGCCACTCTGAGAAACACTCAGAGGCTTATTAGAGCTCAGTGCTAATTTGATCCGTCTTTCACTTTCTGAAAGTAAGATGGCCATTTACTGATCTTGAAACAGTAGCCCAGTATTAACTGTTGTTCAGCTGTCTTTTGGAAAATGTTTCTCTCTCTCTCTCTCTCTCTCTCTCTCCCCCCCCCACCACAACCTGACCTTTGTAAGGGACTGCCCGCTAGGAGGATAAGGACTTCCAGCTCCCTTCCAAGCTCTGTGGCCTTGCCTCTGTGTCTCCCGCTGCCAGCACCTGGTCGCTACTGAGACACGATTACTGCTTTGCATGCCCCGGAGGCATGGCCACTTTCCAAGTGCCTGCCTTCCACCTCCTGGCACTGTTTTTAAAATACTGTGTCCAAGACAGTGGAGGTCTATGTGATACAGAGAACCATGGCCAGCATCCAAAGTTGTAAAGTATTTATTAAAAAGAAAGTGTTCATAAGCATACTTTTAGCACAGCACCAGGTAGCTAGTTAGATATAGTTGTTTGATATTAGATTACATTTTAATTTGCTTTTAATGTTTCACTGATGTATCTTAAATTCTTGGAATATTGTAAAGGTGTACTTCTTTTTGTATGACTGGTCTAAGGACTGTAGGAATAAATTGAATTGAATTGAACCAAAAATAATTGGTAAAATGCAGACCATCTTTCCCTTTCTCAATACTTGCCCTATCAGATGTTAAAACAGGACAGGCCCCTTCTGCTCAGGTTGTTACAGATCCTTATAGAATACCATTACCTTGAAGATCCCTCCAGCTCTCGTAGGCCAGCACATGATCAAGATGTCTTCCTTTCCAGTGGAGAGGTCTGCATGCAATCATGTCCTCAGCACTGAAGGAAAAGGAACCCTGTGGCAAGGAATTTTTTATCCTATCTGTTTCCCCACCCAGTGACATGGCCAGACCAGGTCAAAGAGGTGCTTCCTGAAGCTTCTTCCTGGAGGTTATCCGTGGGGCCTTGCTAGCCTAAAGTCCTCCAATGTTCCCTGCTTGGAGAAGGGGGGAGAAGTTGGCCTACCCATTATCTCTCCTGCTAGATCCATTAGCACGTGAATGAAAGGTGAGCATAGGTGCATCTGGAAAACAATTGGACAGACCCACCCACCCCCTGCTGCCACCTGCTCTCTGTCCAGAGGGGGAAAATACTGTTAAGACACACAGTGGAAGTTTGGCTCATTTCAGACCCCTCAGGAGAGAAAAGGGCATTTCTTCACACATGTGAGCAGAGGTGCAGAATACTAGCATATACTGTTCATGGCTAACAGGCCTGGCCCCGGTCACACGGGAGGTTTTGGCCTGGAAGAGGGACGGATCGGGGGCGCAGCAAACGGGCGTGAGCACACCGCAACATCTGGGAATTGGCGTGCACCCGTCCCCGATCCGTTCCTTCAGGCCGGTAATGCGGATGAAAAAAGAACCTGCTAAAGAGCAGGACTTACCTGCAACGCTGCAGCAAGCGCGGCCGTCGGATCGCCCGTCTTCAGGAGCAATCCAGGCTCCTGGCCGAACTGCGCATGCGCACACATGCGCAGTTCGGCTGCCTCGCTCTCCCTTCAGTGGCTTCCCCCCGGCATCTAATTGTGCTGGGGAGCAACTGCGCGGTGGCTCGGGGGATCCATGTGATCCCGCCGCCGCGTGTCTCTTTTGGTGCGGCTCTAAAAAGCCGCACTTCGGCCGTGCTTTCCCCCCCCCCCCCCGTGTGGTAGGGGACAGGCTAGTACTGCTATTGGGACTGGAAAGCTTTATTGTCTCAAGCCAGATTTGCTAGTGGTCCACTATCCTGAAGAGGTTGTGTATATTCTTGTATAATATATGGGTTAGCTCACTTGATCTTTGCTTTGCACAGGTACCTTGCCCGGGGTGTGACTCCTTTCTTCCTGTGATAGCATCCTTTGTTCAGAATGTGAGCATTGACTAGGGACTGGGAGGTTGGTGGATGGATGGTCCTCCTACTTAATAGTAGCAAGCCAGTGTGGTACAAGGGTTAGAGTATTGGACTACCTGGATTCAGATCCCCACTCACTCATGAAGCTCGCTGGATGATCTGCAGTCAGCCATTCTCTCTCTCTCCTTACAGCACAGGGTTGTTCTGAGGATCAAATGAAGGGAGGGGAGAATCATCTAAGTGAAAGAAGGGTGGGATAGATATGTGCTAAATTGATCACAGTGGCTGAATGATGTTTTAGTTCTTTCCGATAGTATAATTCTTTTGTCAGCACTAGGAAAAGAAGGGGGAAACACAGAGCTTTAGCCCTATTTGCTCTTACGCATCATAAAATTGAGCATGGGGATTTTTTGTTAGTAACTGTTTTGGGGAAACAGCTGTATTTTGCCCTTCTCATGGCATATTGCAGCTGATCTGCAGCTGTCATTTGGAACCCTTTCCTGTTTGTGGATAGTGGGAGAATGCCTAGTCTAGGCTGTGCATATTACAGTAGACAACACAGTCCTCCTGCAGTCCTCCAGATCAGGTAGTTGTAGTTACTAATATTTTTTGCAATGTCTGCCTTTCTTTGGCCCTTTCTGCACCTGTCATTTCCTCCAGTTTCCCAGCACCTCTCTGTCACCCTATGAAAATCGTTCTTCATTCCCTTCCGGTTTCACCTCACATTTCCGCTGGCTTTTTTCATAGCTTCTACATTCCTTTTCACCCTTTCCATTTTCAGTCCTTTGTATCTCCAGCTTTTCTGAAACCGATTTTGCCTCGGATTTTGCTCTTGCCCTGCTTTCAAGTAGAGGGTATTTCTGGGGCAGACATTATTCCACGGATACTGCATCACCACCCAGTTTCCGCCTTTTTTCTATCTTCATCACCACAATGATTGTGGTTTCCTATTCCTCGCACTCTGTGCCTTCCTCCTTCTTACTTTTGGTCCTCTGATGGGGCATCGGTGCTTCTTTGTAAAGTTTTATTTCTTTTTACAACTGGCAGAAGATTAAGCCTTTTAGTGTTAGTTCCTTGAATGAAAGGGACCTGAAAGAGCACAGGCAAATGGGCTGAACGCACCCTTGAAACTGACCAGACTCTGCTTTTAGATGCAGAATGCATACAGAATACACACATAAATAAACCGAAGGGGAAAATAAAACAGTGCAGAGGGAATGCATGCGACTCCGCAGTCAACCTTTAAGGCTTGACTCCTTGGATTCTCCAAAGCAAGCTGTCAGTGCTGAAAGGGCCTTTGTCAAAACATCATGGCAAACACTGTGGGCAAAATGAGTACCTTTTTAAAATGAAGCACTCACTTTCTAAAGATAAAAACTTGTAAGAAAAGTACAGCGGGGACTGGAGAAAGCGCTGTCATCCAGTATGCCCAGCACCAACCTACCTGTAGATTTAGCAGCACCCATTTGACATTAGAAGGGCAGAAGAGCAGCCACAGGCTTCCTTGGGATGCTTCATCTAGTTATTTAACCCTAATGTTACTGATTCATTAATGAATTTATTCAACATATCTAATTTTCATTGATCCTATAACAGCCTGAGCCATCAGTAAGTTCATCTAATTAATAGAACAAAGTGTGAGTCCAGTGGCACCTTTAAGACTAGCAAAATTTAATTCTAACAAACTTTATTAATGTACTCTGTTTTTATTGGATTTACTGGCAAACTGAATCTCTGATTAATTTTCTTACTTATTTAATCTCTCTTGGATTTATTAATAGAGGAAACTGTGAAGGGATTTACAAAGGATATATGGAATATATATATATAAAGTAACATAGGGGTAGAATTAATTTGAAGATGATAATTAGTGGCCCAGGCTAGTCCCATCAGATCTCAAAAGTCTAAGTATGGTCAGCATTGATGAGTACTCAGATGGGAGACCACCAAGGAAGTCCAGGGTTGCTATACAGAGGCAGGCAATGGAAAACCTGCTCTGTTCATCTCTTGCCTTGAAAACCTTATGGAGTTGCCATAAATTGGCTGCAAGTTGAAGGCACTTTACGCACACACACATACAATTATTTTGAACTGATAAGGTGGTTCAGCGGGATATTATTTAATCATTGGATTTAGATTATAGAATATTTGCGGAAGAAAATAGTATTTATTATTTGGTAGATTCAGTGACAGATCAGTTACAGATTCTCTAAAGAATAGCAAGTTGAAAAAATATATTTCCTGAAAAAGGAGATAAAAAATATTTAATATTTGATATTGGGTGGCGTTTGTGCAAACTTTACCCTATAGAATGTGTTTAAAGAGGAAACAGGAAGATGTAGTATGTTTAAGGAGCCAAGACATAACTTGTTTTGCATCTATGACACACACAATAAACAAAAGCCATCTTTAAAACAATTTTGTGGAACATATGTGAACATTTTCATCATGCAGTATTATTTTTTTCCATTTTAATATTTTTTATTTTCTACAAATTAGGGGAACAGGGACATGGGTACCTACCAGGGCTCTAGTCGGGGGGGAGCTCTCAGGTACGGAGCTCCGAAAGAGAACCTCTAGGGGGCGGGGCGGTCATGTGGTGAAGCCCCGCCCCCTTCTTTACC